AGGAGCGGGGAAGCCAAGTACGCTTGAAGCATGGTTGCAATTCCTAATAGGTCTTGTCACACTTAAGGCACCGCAAGCGCCATCCAACGAACAGCTGAAGCTGGCTGGCGATTCATAAAGCCAACAGTTTAAAGTTTATTATGATGAAAGCACTTAATGACAGCCATCGCTAGGGGCCCATCATTTATAAAGCTGTGCTGAGTATTAGACATGTAGCATGACCACCAATTTTATGTCACAATTGCTACCATAAAATGACCTTTGGTGATTTTTGCTGCATGTGGTGGACAGCTCTTCCTTCACATTAGTGCTCTGTGGCTTTCTTCGCAGACTATTATGCTGTCTAAAGCTTATTTGGCACTGTCGTGAGCCTCAACCCTTGTTATTACCCCGAAGGCCTGTCTTAAAAAAAAAAAAATCTCATGCTCTATTACGCCACTCCAATCATTTACAGTTCTTACCGGCCTTGGTTCGTGTAATATTTTAATGCAAATATGCTTTACCATGACATTTTAGGTAAAAAGGAAAAAAGTTTCCATGTTTCTGGCTGGTGCAGTATCCATTTGAGGAGCTCACTAAAATCAGCCTCTTATTCCCTGGGCTGGTCTCACTGAATGGGCACTCTTTTCCCTGGTTGGTTAAAACACCTCCAGAAATTAAAAAAAAAGGGGGGGGAGGGGGGAGAGGGGGAGAAACGAGGAGGACTAATTAAACTTCCCCAGAGAATGAATTTTTTTTAAAGATCCTATGTGTGATAAACCCACCTAAGGCAGAAACACCGATTCCTGTCCCCCTACCTCCAGTCCCCATGCAAATCTACATCTGAGTAACATTATTTCATTAGGATTCCATTTTCCAACCTGCTTTGTGCAGTCAGCAAGTGTCTGAATACACGGCCACTTTACTGCTCCAATGCAAACCGCTGCAGAGAAAGTGGTCTGCCCATGCCACACCACCTTTCAATTGTGTATATAATTTTATAAATGATATAAAATCTGCTTCTAGTCCCTGAAAAAAAAAAAAAAGAAAAGAAAAGAAAAGAAAGGAAGAAACACAAGCATGGCACACTGCAATTTTGGAAGGATTTAAAATATGTGATTTCTGCTGGTACCTACTGTATTGGGTTTTACATAAAGCTTTTTTCAATAAGGTAAATTGTTACATGACAAACTCATCTCCCACCATTATCATCCGCTGTTTGTGTTTAACAACAGGAGTCCCGCGCTAACAAAACTGTTGTAATGGCTGCACAAATTACTCAGCTGAAAGCTTTCACCAAACAAAACAGTATTAATCAGCAGTTCTTACGAAGGTGCTAATTAAAAACAATTTTCTTCCTCAGTTTGCAATACTAAAGCCATCTTCACTTGCACAGTTTCCAATATGCAGCTACTGTATTTGCTCACACACGTCAGGCCCTCTATTAACTATTGAATCTCCTATTAGCCATTTCATTACGTTTCTGTTCCCAAGCTTGTTGACATTTAAAAAGTCACAGTATGATCTGTTTTGTCTATTAAAAAATGTATTAATTGAAAAGTCACGGGGACAAAAAAAAAAAAGACAAAACGTAGACTCCAGATGCACAGATTTCCGGGGCATTAGATGCGGGGAGCATGTAGCCACAGCCCATGCAGTGAGCTCTCTGGGTAAAAAGACATCTGAGGAATTAAAATAGCATTTCAGGCTTCCTGAACACCATCAGGCTCCTTCCTAGTTTGGAAATAGTGCTCTCAGGGAAAGATATTTGCCCTCTGTCAAAATTCAGTTTTGAAGGAGATCTAGTCTTCCTTTCAAATCAATCTTTCCTCCATGGGATGCAATCAGCAGAAGACAAGACACTTCATACATACAGTCTGAACTCAGAGTTTAATTCCGGGGTGGAGCCTGGGACCTGGAGCCCAGACCTAGAGTCTAAACAGCTTCATCTTCCCTGTAAGTGTGTGTGTACTTATGGCCACATCGACGTGGATTTCCACGTGGCTAACCTGCTCTCCACCCTCCTCGGTCCTGCTGGGCAGTGCCACCAAATTGTTTGGTGTAGATTGGAAACCAGTCAGATGTTGACTAAATGCAAAGACAAACTCCTTGGAAGCTGGGCTGGGGGGGTAGAGAACAGCCTATTTCTATTTAAAAACAAACACACAAGTAAAAAACAACAAAACAAAAGTCTAACCCTGAGGGGAAGGCATGCCCCATTTTGATAGTGGAGAGAAGAAAAAAACAAAACAAAACACCACCGCAACCACCTCCTGCCTGTGGCATTAAAACCAGGTTCAAAAGCAGTTAACTAGTTTAGGACAGACACCTGGCTGCTGCAAAAGGGCTCCAGAGGGCCACTAATCCTTCCATTCACTCCGTTAACTGCTGGGTCCCCCAGATTGATTCAACAGGTATGCAGTGGTAAATTCAGCCCCTACGGAAGCCAAAGGGGAAATCAGCAAGGGGCAGGCAGCTCTTCTCTGAAACACCCGAGGAACCAGCCAGAAAAGCTTTTATGCCCCAGACAAGTTTTCTGCTGAATACTGAGCACCTAAATTACCCTTCCCTAATGGAACTTACATTTTCATGCTCAGTCAAAAAGCCAACAAAATACACAATTTATACAAAATAGCATCAACCTCTTAGGTAGTCTTTTCGAGCGCTTTTATCCCAATTCACAGCATATGTCCTGCTATAAAATAAAATATATTTCTTACAACCAACTTATATGTGGCTGTTCATATCGCCGCATTAGAACTGACCATGGGTGGTATTAGAAACATTCTCACATCCCCGCCAGATCTACTTAGCATGACAAAGGAAAAGGAGGAGTTTTAGTAGAAGATCTAGGTACAGGGGCAAGGGAAGTGTCATGATGATTCTTATGATTTGCTAAATAGACAGGCTGTTTTTTGAAACAAACACACGCATAATTACATAATAGACAATTATGTAATTATGGAATGGGGCATTTCAATGCAAGGTATACAACCCAATACCAATGCATAGAAATAATTCTTAATTATGGAGCTCAAAAGGAATGTAAATAGATCAACTTTCCAAAGCAGCTATATTTCCCCCTTCTCAATATTGGGATTTCACTAAAATGTAAGAAAAGAAAAGAAGAAAAGAAAAAAAAAAAACCATCACTGTTAAATTATTTAATAATATACAACATTTGTTTCTCAAAAACATCCAAAGAACCTGGCTAGAGACATTTCTGGACGAGGATCCCATAAAGAAGAGATCCATGAAATCCTCAACAATTTACAGGAGATTCTCTAGGTTTTCATCACACAATAAACACATTTGCTTACTAGGTGTCTCTTGGAACAGCTCAATTCTAACACTGTCTCGAGCTTAGGTAACTGCACACTCTCTTCTTAGATACGAAAAAGATAAAAATACAAACAAATTGCTGGTTTACCTTTTAAAATACTATTTCTCTTAGAGAAATAAACACTGCATTTCTACACCCACAACACACGAATGCAAATTGAATTCTTGCCAATTCATGTATTTTCATGAGGGGGAAAAAAATGGAAATAGTCTCATGATTCTGCTGTTCTGTATTTTAAAAGAAAAACAGAAAGAATAGACCATATTAGGTGCTACTGCGGAGATGGGCTTTCTTTGTCTGGCAGATTTGGTTGCAGGTTTTACAGAAAAAATAATTCCTGCTGTATCTCCGCCAGTACAAATGGAACTACCTGTGTTGCCTTTTAAAACATTCCCAATTCTAATTTTTAAACAAGAAAATATGAAGGCAGTGTGCTACCTATACAGTCGCCAAAGGAGAGCTGCCACTAGCTGAACTACTCAGCTAAATGGCTGGTTTGCGTTGCCCTGGTCTTTATCCAGCACTGAGAATAGACTGCTGTTTTACCCAAAGAGGAATAAATTGCTGTTATTGTGATGTTAGCCCATCACTTGGCATTGCAATTCAAGTTTTTGTGAGCAAGAAATGTACGATCTAACTGCAACTTGACCTATGCCTTCCGAGATCCATCTAGGTGCTCTAATGGAGCAGAAAGAGTGGTGAATACAAGGACATGCAAACTGATGGCAAAAAATTTGTTTGTTGATAAGAGGGAGAAGAGAAGACATTTGAGAGTCGCTGTTTTTATGATGGCTAAGTTTGTTTAACATGCAAAAGGATTCCTCCTCTCTCCCCAACTCAGTCTCCCTTTAATTGCATCACACTAACTACATGCTTATAAACATAGGAGCATGTAACCTATGAATGACATGACTACTAATGTGAGAGCAGATGATTCCTCACAGATAAACATCTGAATTTTCCACAAAAGGCATTAAGGCGTCTCTTGGATGCACGAGGCTAGAAAATGCTTGGGTTCCCTGCAGAAAAGGCATTCTCTCTTAATCCCAGGTAGCACCTTTTAAATGTTTACTACACCCTTGAATCATAGCATTTAACAATATATACTCACTTTAAATAAGATAACGGGCGTGATTGGGTTTTTAAAACTCCCGTGGTTGTGGTTTAGTTTATCAACCATTTATTCCAAATTTCTCTGGGAAGGATCTATTTTTGAAAGAAGTCTGGTGAACAGCAGCAGTTAGATGTGAGCCCTGATAAAGGCTCACTTTTCATTCATAGTCAGAGCCTAAATGTGCTCTTCTTGTACCTAAACAGATAATAAGCACTCAGCACACTCCTCCTCCTTGACACAACACATTGAGACTAATCACACATAATTGGAGAGGAGGAGCAGAGGGCTGGCCACGCTATTGTGTCCAGAGGACAAATGGTCAGTTTATAAGGCTTTAGGCTGATGGAGTCATTTCTTATACATCTACAGGGGAAAAACCGTCCAGTTTAAAAGGGAAAAAAGATGAGCAAGGGAGACAGGAAAAGAGATGGCAGCTTTAACACAAATTAATTTGATGGAGATCAGAAAGATATGCTTTTTTTTTTTATTAACCAAGATAGAATCATCATGTTTGCGGTTTTATACATTAAAAACAACTGCCACCAAATGGAACAAAGACCAAGGTATTTTTTTTTTTTTTTTTAATAGGGGTGACAAACACCAAAGGAAATTCTGTTTCAATTAGAGGCAAAAATATTTAGGGTGCTTACAAGTCCAATTCAAATAGCAGAAAGGCTGTTTATAGGTATTTAAAGACAAACAAAGGTTTAGTGCAGGAAGAGCAATAAGCAGACTGAAAAAAAAGAGAGGACACAGGGAGGCTGGGGAATAATGTGGGTGAGGACAGGTGGGCTTCATAATCATACGTGGAATGACGCCAAGGTGGTGGTGGTGTGGGGCTGACCACGTCTTTGGGGCTGGACAGGAAGCCAATGGCTTGCTGCATATTACACACATTCCAGACTTCTGGTTTTTAGAAAATATTCCTTGTGTACTTGATGTTTTTCTTCATCTTTTGAGCAGCTTAGTCTTCTCTCCATTTTTGGTTAAAATAAGCAGAAGTGGGTAATGAAGGTTTTCTTCATATATATCCTGGTTTTCCTTTTTCAACTGAAAACAATAAAAATAAAAAAAAAAGGTAAGGAGACTCAGATTAGGATTTTTTACCAGTTGATTTAAATGTTGAGTACAATGAAGACTTCTTACCTAAATATACTGTTCCGGGGGGGTGGGGGGGTGGCGGAAAGCAACTCAGTGGCATTGACATGTCAACACTACGCATCAAGATGGGTGTTTTTCATAAATAGTCACCCTGCATCTGTGACGCTCAGGAACTCTGAGGCACTGCAGTGAAGGCGGCAGACCTGGCCAGCCATTTGATATAGAAGCTTCTGCTCTTGGCCCTCTCTGTCCCCGGCCAGAAACCAGGAATCCCAGTGGGCAGGCCTCTCAGATCCCTGTTTGGAAACCATGGCAACACCTGGGTACCAGGGAAATGCTGATGGGGCCCAGGACATTTCAAAGATTCTCCAGATCCTTCCTAAGGGTTTTAAAATTAATGATAAGTAACTCAACAATTCTTTTCTCTGGCGGGAAAAACATATTCCAACAATCAGAGCCTCAAGCTTTGATTGCACTCAGGTGGACTTCCGAGGGCCTTCCCAGGGCAGATGTACAATGTGAAGTACACTTTTCCTCATTGGCTAGAATAATTCTGGTAGTCATATTTATACTAAATATAGTGGTTAACAATAAGGATTTTTTTCAACATATGTTGATAGATATGCAATTTGATATGTATTCTATTTTGCTGTATTGACAACAAGCTTCAAAACTTCATATGTCCAATTTTCTGAAGGTGTTAACATCATAGATATTTTTATGCTTAAAAATGTTAAACTTCGTGCCTAAGAAAGAGCATTTGTGGGAAGTTTTAATTCATTACTTTATTTTGAAGAAAAAGTGCTGCTGAAAGTTATATACTTCAGGAAACTTATGGAAACTCAAGATACTTGAGAATGCTGGTTTAAATGCTTTGAAAGTGATGATTTTGATGTGAGAGACAAAGGACAACTGAAAAGTTTGAAGGCCAACAATTACAAGCATTATTGGATGAAGATGCGTGTCAAACTTAAAAACAACTTGCAGAAAGATTAAACATTGCTCAGCAAACAATTTTCGATCATTTACAAGCAATGGGAAAGGTTTTAAAGAGAGGAAAATGGGTGCACTATCAACTAAACGGAAGACAAATGGAAAAACGAGAAGTCATCAGTACAATGTTGCTTCAGAGGCACGAAAGAAAGACTTTTTTTGCATCAACTTGTGACTGGCGATGAAAAGTGGGTTTATTCTGAGAATCTCAAATGCATAGAATAATGGGTTGATGCAGGTCAACCATCAACATGGACTGCAAGGCCAAATGGCTTCAGAAAGAAGACAATGCTCTGCATTTGGTGGCATCAGGAAGGTGTGGTGTTTTATGAGCTTCTAAAACCAGGTGAAACCGTTAATACTGATCGCTACCAACAACAAATAATCAATTTGAACCACGCTTTGATCATAAAACCACCAAAATGTTCCAGAAGACACGGCAAAGTAATATTGCTTCATGATGACGCACCATCACACACTTCAAAACCAGTTAAAGACACATTAAAAGATCTTGCCTGGGAAGTATTAACCCACCCGCCGTATTCACCAGAACTTGCTCCTTCAGATTACCATTCGTTCGGATCGACGGCACATGCACTTTCTGAGCAGCTCTTCAAAACGTACAAAGAAGTGGAAAATTGGGTCTTTGAATGGTTTGCCTCAAAACAAGGAAAGTTCTATTGGGACGGTATCCACAAATTAGCTGAAAAATGGGGGAAATGTGCAGCTAGCAATGGACATTGCGTTGAATAAAGCACTTTTGATGTTTCTCTTGAAATTATTGTGTTTTCTTTTATTATAAAATCTGCGTTATTAACTGGTACACCTAGTATGTTTTCTAGCAAATAATATAAAGCTATTTATAAAGATAAAAAAAATCAATATTTTTGAGCCAAATTTTAATTCATTTTTTAATTTATAAGAATCAGAAATAAATACCTTTTTTTTCATTATCCATGGAACCAATTCCTTTATTATTTCAAATCAGACAAACCTCCCCCTCCTCCTTGAAGCTAAATGAATGCCTCCAACATGACACTTCCCTGGACTAGTAAATCTGGGGCCTAACTTGAATCTTTTCAAAGCGCATATTCCTTCTACATCCTATTCCCAAACTGTGGCACGCCCTCACTATTCAGGACAGGAGCAAGGAGCCCACTCTTCCTTCTCTACCTGGTCTTTACTTCTCAATCCATTTCCCTAAGATCTGATGGTGGTGCAATCACTCACGTGACTTCATCTGTTTTCTTACACAGCGTTAGTTCTATTTACAGACGAGTTATCTATTTAGAAAGAGCCTCGTGGATTTCGGTTGCCACCGAAATAATGACAGCGTTCTTCTTAAACACACATCCCTCAATATCACTTTTTAATTAAAAAATAACAACAACAACAACAACCACAACCAACACACAGGAAATGGGTTCCCAAACTTCCCAACCCACACCCACTAATAGGGACCTACCCACTGTAAATACCTTTGGTGTCTGTTGCCGTGGTGATAGAAGGAACACGCTGAAATATTTCACAGGGAAGAGGGGGCCAAGCTAGCTAAATTCTTCCTCGGGGACTGGGGATAAGGCAAAGTTGAATACTCAGCGTGAGTCAGCTGACCTACTCACTCACAAAGCGCTAATATACAGACTCAGATGAGCTCTTTATAAAGTCCCTGAGGTAATGTGTGGCATAAATAAATCTTCTGTAAATATCGCTTAGAAATCACTTTCAGCTTGGATTCTACCCTGACCTCTGGAGGCCAAAGTCGAGGCTTCCCTGGGGGAGGGACCAAGGGCCCTGCCCTATCTTAAAGATGAGCCCTTCCCCAAGGTGGAGAAGAGCGGACAACCCTACACAGATCATTTCAGAACCCGGTGAGGGCACTTGAACACACACAAAGCTGTTGGGCACTATTTGCTTCGATGGGGGAATGTTCCGTGGTTTAAGAATAATTCCATTTTCCCAGGCTATACTTCTTTGCCCGATGAATAATTATAACCTTAAGAAATACAAAAGCCCCTGGGGGGGGGGGGGGAAGAAATGAACAAAAGGGAAATAATGGATAAAACAATTTTTCAATTTCATAGGCTAAAACAGGGTCTTTGAAGACGGAAACAAGTTATATAGCTGCTATTAGTCACATTATCCTTCACTTCCTAATTGAATGCCACACGCTCAGCCTTGCCGTGGCGTGAACAGCAGCAGCGGGAGAGGGGTTCAGACTGTTTACCCTTCACAGTGTCCACAATTACCAACAGCCCACCACACCGACCATAAGCACCAGCCACTTGTGATGCGGCATGTTGAATAGAAAAGCAGAAGTGCAATATGGCCGTGCTTTTCACACAATGTACTGACTTCACAGCCGAGCCGAGCCTGTTTTCGTAGCTGAGTACAGAAACACAGAAAACAAACTCACGGATGGTTTTGTGAAAGTTGAGAGGGAACAAAAAAAAAATACCTATGGCGTGTAAAATTATATTTCAAAGACTATTTGCATGAGTGAGAGTAGTTTGATCAACTAATTTCAAGCCAGCCGCAATCTCAGAGCCAGGTCTCTCTACCTTGCTGAACAATTTGCTATCTTCACATCCTTAAACACTGGGCCATGCATTTCATTCCCAGCCTGGGGGAGACCCAGAGGTTGGAGAGGGGGAGATGGGTGTTTTATTTTTCTTTCCATTGCCTGGGCGAACAGAAAGGCAGTATTTTTTTTTTTTTTTTTTTTTTTAACACACAGCACACCACACCTTTAGCTGCCTGGTCCCTGAGCATGCTGGCTGCATGGCGTGGGCACCATTTAAGCAAAAAACACGGGCAGAAAAGTGCAGAATGGCACCGTTTTGATTACAGGCTTGCTTTTGAACGGAAATAAAATTTCACAGTTAACAATGAGAGGTGAAAAGTTTAAGAGGCAAAGCTGTTCCTCCTGATCACTGACTGGTAATCAGCTTCATGGGTGGTTGCCTAAATCTGTAGAATTTTTTTTTTTTTTTGTACCTTGCACGACTGCCAAGATTGTAACTAATTTTTTTTCTCTCTCCCCCTGTTGTAAGAGAGGAGGGCGTGAAAAACCTCGGCATAGAAAGCAGCTGTGTATGAGTGACGTGAGGCACTAATGCAGAGGGCAAAATTAAAATTCATGAATCTCTTCACAACCATTTGTGTAACAAGATTAAGACGGGACAGCGGAAAAGAGCGGCATTATCAGGCGTCTTACAGTCCTCCAGCTGGTTACGCTCTATTCCGGCACAGTGGGGCTAAGAGGATAACACGCGGCCCGCAGGAACACGCCGCTCCTCCATTTGGGAGCCGGCTCGGCCCGGGGACCGTGGGGGTTTGGCCGGAGATGGGAAGGAAGAAAGCTGATTGCCGCTCAAGATGGAAAAGTTTTAAGCCCCGGCTGTTAGCACGCGGCAAACAAAAGCTGCGGCCGGGGGCGGAGGTTCCCGGCGGCCGCCGGCCCCTGCGCGCCCCCCGAGCCCCGGGCAGGCGGGTGGGAGGCGGGCAGGGACCCAGGGGTGCTGGCTTCGGAGCCTGCCCCTCGCCTGGGTGAAGGGCACCCGGGCTGGGCGAGGAGCTGGGACGCTCCCCACTGCCCCCTGCCTGGCCTCTGGGAGAGATCCCGTCCGGGCACCCTCCCCTTGCCAAGGAGACCTCCGCGTTGGAGCTGGGGTTGGGTCAGCACAGGGGACAACGCGGCTGAGGCGGGGAGCCCAGCATCCTAGCTCTGGTACCCAGGGACGAGGCATGCTCTTGATAGAAGCCAAACCACCAATCCAGCGGCAATTGAGCTCATTATCAAACATCAACACCATGGGCATCCATGTCTGTAGCATTTACCTAGGACGCCCCAGCTCCTCAGAATATCCCCTTAGGCTGCTGCTTCCTGAGAACAAAATGCCACTTTCACCGCTCACCGCACCAAAAGAGGGGAGGGGGACTCTTCTCAGCCCAGTGTCCTCACGTTGGGGAATGTAACGTTTAAGCCATTATGAAGAGATAAAAAATACGGCCAGCTACTTACGAAATTTTACATTTGTGGGACCACTTGGCCCATGATTATTGATAGCGTACTAACTGTGGGTACAGACATAAACATACCAATGTAAAGGTCAGAGGCATGCCTAGGGATTCCGGGAACGGTGCTTTGCAGGACAGTGTTCATAGCTGGAAAAAGAGGACGTTGCTGTCCGCTAGCTGCTGACAGTCTAACGTTCCAGACAAAGGAGAGGTGGCCACCCAGGGCTCAAAAACCTCGTGTTCCAGGGCTTGCAGGGAGGCGAAGAGGGTAGAGGGGAGGGAAGGTATCAGGTCCGACGCTGACTTCTCTGCTGGTGGAGGAACTCCAGGCTTTGCTCTCCCGATCTGTGGCTGAGGATCTAAATGCATTTGTTTTTCGGGGGGGGGGGGGGGGGGGGGGGGGGAGGAAGTGAATGGTAATGACATTGAGGCAGCCATCATCCAATCCCTGTATCTCTAGCCTAAGCTGGGTAGAAGGCAGAATGGGTTGCTTTGGGTAGAGGAAGGCCCTTCTCCCGCCAGGTAAAGCCTCCAGGGCCACCGTCTTTGTTGTGGGGAGGGGTTGAAAGAGGGAAAGTTGTTCTGGAGGGACAGGTGAAATTCCAGTACCATGCCATTCTGCTTTCCTTTTCTGATCGTAAGCAAAGGGCCCAACTCCAACAGGGAGGCCTTAGAGACTCACAGAGGCGAACCCATTCCCGGGAAGGGGGGATTTCCTTTCCTTTGCTGGGAAGATCAGGTCCAGCTTGTACATAAATTTTTCAAAAGTCAGTAACTTCTGCATTAAACCATAGTCTTGGATAATGAAGAGTGCTATTGGTGTTTTTTACAGGAGAACATTAAGGTCAGGCCTTTATTTTTCTGCAGTCACGACTTGCAAAATTGAGACAAGTCAAAGTCTCTTGCCAAGGTCAGACTAGTTTAGAGAAGGGAGGCACAAAATTACGTAAGTAATACATGTTATGCTAGTGACAGTGACATGTATTAGCAAACGTGAGAGACCTAAAGTTTTCAGCACACTTGCCTCTCGGTGTCCTATATTGCTGTATACCCATAAATAATAAAAAGGCTGATAACATTGCTTTATGTAAGCAAGCTTAGAAATCACTCTCAGATAAGTGCTTTTGACCTAAATCTTGTAGCGCCTCGCTCTGACATCTAACCCCACAACTGTGAAATTCTGTAGGAGATTTAACAGTCTCAAACTGCCAACTGACCCAGCCATAAAGCAAGCAGAGATAAAGATTTACAGTCCAACATGATACAATTAGACAGTCACCTTCTATTTATTTCAGTGCAGCTGAGCATTTAACCTACTTAAAGGCCGAAGTTTTTTCATTAAAATATAAACGCTTGTTTATCATTCCTTCGTATGCCACCTCCAGGCATCCTATAAATTAGCCTATTATAAATGAAAAGATAACTTTGTTTCAGAGAAAGGTGTAAACAAGAATGGTTTCTGTAAAAATCCTTCTAGACATGCAAAGATAAAAGATGGCTTTACCACACAAAATAATCAGATACACGGAGCCGTTCAGAGCTAGCACACCTAAGAAGTGCTTTAATCAAATATTTAGGTTACCTGCCAAAAAGACCATGATCTCTTCAAAATGCAATGCGGATTAAAGTGTTATCTAGCACAAGCAGAAAACTAACCTTGGAGTGGAAGTTTGAAATGTGTTCATCGTAATTTTCATGTCTCTGGATAGAGAAGCCAGCTTTTTCAGCTAGATTGCAAAACTGGTTTAAAGTAGTCCCTCGGCGTGGGGCAAATACCATTGCTTTCCCCTAGAATGTTAAAAAGAAAGAAAGAAATGTGCACATTTTAAAACTGGCAGGCAACCAAACATCGCAGACACTGGTCAAAGCGTTTAACGTACTGATCTCAGGTAGAAAACTCAATTGTTCTGGAGACGGCCACACCAGTCCACAGACAGATATGCATCAAATAAGAAAACAACATGTATCCTAGTCAGATGGCCAGTGGCTTTTCAAATAGCACATGTCATAAACAAAATGTGACTCCGCGTTGGTATTCTGTACAACATGCACCACTTCGGGGTTTAGCGGTTTGCACAAAAGCACTAGATTCTCAAGGAACTGGTCCAGGGCAGTGCCACCCACCTTGCGACTCGCTGGCAGCTGCCAATACACCCACAACACAGCTCCGGGGCATGTGGCCACAGACGCTTGTAAATGTGAGTTTATTGTGCCCTGAAATCTCAGTACCAAGAAATCCTCCGCGGAGACAAGGAACCACAATCCCCAGTGGAGAGTTTTCACGTTTCAGTCCTGCCTTTTCTGGGACCATGCTGTCAGCTACAAGGATCTTGGTTTCCAACTTCACTGAATCCTTCAAAATGGCCTTCATTACAGCAAAGCAGCTCCTCTCGGTTCTCAAATGATTGCTTTTCAAAGAAAGTGGTATAAAGAGGACAAACAGGCTTTTCTAAATAAAATGCACAACTTTATGAGACTGTTGCAGTGGGGAGCCAGGGAGGACCTGTATGCAACACACACGGGATTTCAGAAACCCACTGGACATGCAACTCCCTGCTGGTCATATGTTCGCCCCTGGGTGCCTGTGGATGTTCCCTCCCCCTCTCTGATGTGCACAGAATGGCGACGCTTCAGGATCTTCTTTTCTTTTGATTCGGTTACAAGATGGCTGTACGCTTCTGTTAACGTCAAGGTTACAGTTCTCTTCAATGAATGCTGCTTCAGGTTTTGAGGGAATCATAAATATATCCTACTTTCTTATGAAAGGTTTATCATTCCCACCTGCCAACTATTTCCTGAGCATGCAGCACATGTCAGACACCAGGAGAGGGGTTCTCTAGTCATTGTCTCCCTTAAACCTTCAGACCACCAAAACGTAAGGATTATCAGCTCCATTTTACAGGAGGCGAAGGTTGACTAATTGGCCAGGATGACACAACTGGTAAATGGATGGAAACCTATCTGACTCCAATGCCATGTCTCTCTCCTGGTCACTGCATCGCCGCCTCATCAGTACTAGTGATGGCAGTAATAAAAATAGCAACCACTGTGCTAAGTGCTTCAACCTCCCTTAATCCCCTCAACAACCCTGTATGGGAAGATATTGCGTTTCACAAATGATTAAACATGCAATGAAGGGGTTGAAGAATACAAGGAAGAACTGTGTGGCAGAAAGGGTTTTTTAAAATATATATTTTATTGATTTTTTACAGAGTGGAAGAGAGAAGGATAGAGAGTTAGAAACATCGATGAGAGAGAATCATTGATCAGCTGCCTCTTGCATACCCCCCACTGGGGATGTGCCCGCAACATGCCCTTGACTGGAATCGATCAAGGGACCTTTCAGTCTGCAGGCCAACACTCTATCCACTGAGGCAAACCGGTTTCGGCAGAAAGGGTTTTTGGATGTAAAGGGAGTCTCCACCATTAAAGAGCTGAGTCACTGTAGGAAAATGAGAAAACTAATCTCAGAGCTGTTGAGCCTGAGGACCTTGGAGATGTTAGGCTAATCTCATTTGGCAGGTGAGAAACTCAAGTCATCCTAGCTGACCCCCTGAATTTTCTCATCCAGCAAGTGGGAACAGCAAAGCCTGCCCCCACCCCCACCAAGTTGTAAGAATCAGATGAGGTGATGAATATGGAAACAGTTTGAAAAATAAGGTTAAACACATGTAAGACTAGAAACATCTAGAGCACCGAATAGTGCTATAAAAATTCCATCAATTCTCTCTCCTTGTCATTCTCTTTCCCTCATTTACCTGCTAGAAATACCCCGATGCACTGTGTCGGACAGCAAGTATGTTTTCATACTGTGTTTACATAGACATGTACACACTCAGGCACATAATTATAGCAGCACCAATCATGCCAATACACTTAAGGTTCTGTCAGCTTTTCTCATATTAATTGCTATTTTCAGGTGGTTTTCAAACTTAGCAGTAGAAATGCATTTGAATGTGGAAGTAGATATAATACATGGTCTCAGCAGGAGAGCAAACGTCTCTATTTTTTAAAGAAGTAAATACTAGTAGGTCATGTTAGTCATTTCTAAGAGCTGGTTGCCATTCTGGATTTTTGAATAATGGAAGTTTATATTTTTATTTTAAATTCACTTGCAAAAATTGTCTTACAATTACAATGGAAGAGTTGATTTTTAACAGCTATTACCTAAGCCAGCGATTTTCGATCTTTTTCATCTCCTGGCACACAAAAACTAATTATTAAAATTCTGTGGCACACCAAAAAATAGATTTAATGTTTGCCGATCTTACAAAAAAAAAAAAATAGGTCTGATTTTGATTGATTTACAAAGAAATAATAATAATAGTATTTATCTACCCTTTTTGCTCAATGTTTTTTTCAAATCAGGTATTGGTATTTGTATAAAGAATTTCTGACACTAAGAATTAACCAATCAGACACAACTTTATTATGTGTTGTGACCAATAAAATACAACTCTATTATATGACCTATAGATTTATGGTTCAAAAGAGGGCATTCACACCAGAAGGCTTTTGTTTTGTTGGCTGTTATCATTTTTAATATTTGACAATCTAAGGGAAAAAGAGGCCAATGCCACTGATAGATAGAATCATTGATTTGTTGCCTCCTGCACGCCTTACACCTGAGATTGATCCCACAACCTGGGCATATGTCTCTGACCAGAATCAAACCTGGGACCCTTCAGTCTGCAGGCTGATACTCTATCCAAACCAGCCAGGGTTTTTGCATATTTTAAATTTTGCATATTTTAAAAATTCTGTGGCACAAGGGTTAAAAAATCACTGATCTAAGCTATCCTAGCTAATAAAAGAGTAATATGCAAATTGACCATCACTCCAAGATACAAGATGGCTGCCCCTATGTGACCAAAGATGGCTGCCCCCATGTGGACACAAAATGGCCACCAGAAGATGGCCTGCAGGGGAGGGCAGTTGTGGGCAATTAGGGATAACCAGGCCAGCAGAGGAGGGCAGTTAGGGGGTGACTAGGCCTGTAGGAGAGGACAGTTAGGGGCAACCAGGCCAGCAGGGGAGGGCAGTTGGGGGCAATCAGGCCAGCCAGGGAGCAGTTAGGCAACAATCAAGCTATCAGGGGAGTGGTTAGGGGGTGATCAGGCTGGCAGGCAGAAGCAGTTAAGGACAATCAGGCAGGCAGGCAGGCAGGTGAGCGGTTTGGAGCTAGCAGTCCTGGATTGTGAGAGGGATGTCCAACTGCCCATTTACCAACCGCTCATTTAAATGGGCAGTTGGCTATCCCTCAAGGGTCCCAGATTGGAGAGGATGCAGGCTGGGCTGAGGGACAACCTCTCTCACCTCCCCCCACCCACCCTCTGCATGAGTTTTGTGCACCGGGCCTCTAGTTTATCATAATGTTTTTTGTTTTGTTTTTAAAATATATTTTATTGATTTTTTTATAGAGAGGAAGAGAGAGAGGGATAGAGGGCTAGAAACATCGATGAGAGAGAAACATCGACCACCTGCCTCTTGCACACCCCTCACTGGGGATGTGCCCGCAACCAATGCACATGCCCTTGACCGGAATTGAACCTGGGACCTTTCAGTCCGGAGGCCGACGCTCTATCCACTGAGCCAAACCGGTTTTGGCTTTAATGTTTACAGGGCTCTGGGGTTCTTGGTCGGGCTGATGCTTGTATTTACAAAGCACATGCTCTCTACAGTGCACCCTTTGTTGGTTGGGGTGAGCTGTTAGGGGGGCTGCAATGAAGTCTATGGCTGCACTCTCTGCCTAGACATCTCTTTCCTTCTTTAGGCCTCAGTTTACCTGTCCTTCTCTAACCATCCAATCTAGAACAGCAGCCCCCTCCCTCCATCATTATTGACCCCCTCTCCCTGCTCTACCTTTGTTCTTGGCACTCATCACCTCTGACACACATTATATCCTTGTTTGTTATGCCCGCCTCCTCTGGCTGGAATGCACACTCCATGCCAACAGAATCTTCTAATGTTTATTCACCACATTTTCACAGGACCTAGCAGATAGTAGATACTTAACCAATATTTGTTGAGAGAATAAACCAAATGCCAACGTTGAATCATCTGAGAAATTCGAGTCTTTGGGAATTTGAAGGCTATGTTCTATTGCTTATTCTTTAGAAAAGATTTCCTCCAAGAAGCATTTGTAGAGTCAGCAACTATGGTGGGATATGAGAGGGCACAATACTGGACCCTCGAGAAAGAGAAAGAGCAAGCAGGACTTTTAATCTCTAATTACTCAGTTATGAGTTTTAAAATACTTCCTTTTCATCTAATGAAATACATACATTTTTGAGATGTAGATTCGTACTTAGAAGGGACAACAGTACATCATCCATTCAGAATGCTTCAGTAAGCATCCACGGAGCCCTATTGAGTGTCTGCATCCACCCCACAGAAATTGGTTTTAGGACACACACACCCATCTCAGTAGAGCTGAACCCTTTGTTGGGTCCAATCAGAGAAATATGCCTTACAATTTAGGCTGCAAAAATCAAAACAAGAAAGAAAAAAAAAATAGATTTCAAATGAGTCCATCTCTTTAGAAAAATTATTTTCAATTTACCAAAGCAGACGTTTCTAAGCATTCACAGTCACGAAATCATTTTAAACTAAGAATGAACACTCAATTGAATGTAAAATTTTGACTGATGAGCAGAAATTTGAGGGATTCGTTTTTCCCTTGAGAGGAGAGAGGAGCAGTCCCACTAAACAAGGCGATCCTGTTTGCATTGGGAGTGCAGTTGTTGCTGTTTTGCTAGACTAATCTATACTCACATACTAAAGGGAGGGTACTTCTGGGGAAATAAGTGTGCTTAGGATTTATTTTAAAAGGAATATGCTATGCCAACGAAAGGCTTTTATTCCTCTTTCATTCCCAGGTTATGTTTAATACTGATTACATGTCTAAGCTTATGTTTATTTTCTAGCCTTTTCTTTACCAGGTTTCTGAGATGCTGCCTTTCCCTGCTTCCACCTGCTTCTTCCCCTGTATCTCTCTCAGTCCCCTTCCCTAACTTCTCTTCTCCCACTTGCTCCTTAATTGTCAGTGGTCCCCAAAGCTCTGTCTACTTGTTATTCCTATTCCTAGGCCATTGAACCGAAGTCCAGGCATCAACTATCACTTATACTTCCAAACTCACAAGTCTATTACTGTAGCATTCACCCATATTTTCAAGTCTCTACAAGATCTCTCCACGGATGAGTTCTGAAAGTACCTTTAACCCATTCTATCTAAAATGGAATTCAATATTCTTGGCTCTAAGCCCCTACTGTTTGGAGCCAGGTCACTATCTCTCTCTCTCTCTCTCTCTCTCTCTCTCTCTCTCTCTCTCTCTCTCTCTCTCACACACACACACACACACACACACACACACATTCAGACACACCTACTGGAAACCAAGTACTTCCATACTCTTCCACCTCTGAAATGAAGCTAGACACCTGGAAATCATGGCATTGCCCTTTAAAACCCTTTAGAGCCATGTCTCCCTGCCCACATCACTGTCATCTGCTGCACTGGGCTCCAGTACAGTTTTTGCTGGGCACCCTGAGAACTTCCTGTATCTCCCGTTGGATGTGAATTATGAAGAACTCAGGATCCACCAGCGTAGCCCCCAAGGTGTTTCTCTGTGGACCTCTTGTGACATCTTCAGATCTCTGGGCCACAACCCCACAGAGGAGTTGTCTTGGCTCAAGAAAACATTGAAAGCAGCTCTAAGTGGAAATAAAACCTTTGCTGTTATCTTAGTCTTGGACTGTGACTTCACACACTCAGCAGGAGGTGGTCCTCTGGAAGCAGGACAGCCAGCGCTGAGAGCTAAGAGGAATAGTTCAGCTTTTCCTCTGGTTACCTCCAAGCTCTGGGGACCTTCTAGCCCAATGGCACAGGACATGGAGCTGCAGGTCACTGCCAAATCCGTGTGACCCTTCCAGGTGCACCTGGGTGGAGGCCTAGGGAGTGCAAGTGTTGTGCCTCCCCAGACCCCACAATAGGGATGAGTTTCCTGGGGGGCAATTTTGGAATGCCCATGTGCCATCCGCAACTCAGACTCCCCCCTTACAGTGGGCCTCTTACCCCTTAATCTAGAGCTGTTTGTGAACGAGGAGCCTAAGCCAGGCCCTCCTCCCATCTCTAATGCTGCTGTTTGGTGCAGGCTCCTCTGACCCAGGGTCCCTGCTCCTCACATAGTAAGGAGGACGTCTACTCTAGGGCCCTGCCTCCTCCTTCTAGGAGCTGAGGGTGAGTACCAGCATCAGTAGAAGGGCTGCTGTCTTCGCTAAGGGGGGCTGCTGTGTGGAGCCATACTTCAGGCCAGGGGGAGTGTGGTTCAAGGTTTAATAGAGGGAACAGGGGGGCTGCTAGGATGCCAGTCCAATCTTCACTTAGTTCTATTCATAGGTTGGGCAGTTTTCTATTGTGAACCATGAGGAGGATTTACAAAAGATCTGGGAAAAGCATTCCGATCTGCTGCAAAATGGAGTATTTGCCACCAACAGGCTTGAAGGGGGCTGGTGAGGAGCGGGGTCCTATTTGTGTAGGGTCAGATCCAGGAGTCCTTGTAAGTATCACATTTATATATGTGGCCTATGATTAAGGTGACCAGACATCCCGCTTTTGGCAGGACAATCCCAATTTTTAACAATTTGTCCTGCGTCCCGCAGCGTTTTTAAAAAGTCCCGATTTTTTGAAAGATTATCGGGACTTTTTTAAAACGCCGCGGGGCAAATTGTTAAAAATCGGGACTGTCCCGCCAAAAGCGGGACACCTGGTCATCTTACCTAGGATACATTTCCATGGAGGCCTTTGCATCCAAGAGACTCAGTGCTTCTGGAAATTCTGATCTTGCAAGTGCTCACAAGGCTCATCTAAGGCTCAGAGGGGGAATGGAGAGGCCCCAAATTCCCTTTTCTACCCTTAACTCAGGCTGTTCACCCAACCAGGGCAGCCGCCATCACCAGTGTGGGCGCGCCCCTTCCTCGCCTCAAGACTTACTACCCACAACCTCACAGAGGGAACTGAGGAGCCAATTTCCTTTAATTGATTACCACTTACCAAGCTGTGGCTACTCCTCTGAGAGGTCTATTTAAAGTTTCTGAGCTGTACAGAGATAACAGAATAAAAAGCAACAGTGTGAGGCAAAGGATGATTATCAAATTGCTCTGGGAACCTTCCATGTGAAAACAGATATAAAAGGAATATTGAAAGGTATTCATCTGTAAGCCTCACTGAGGTCAGAAGACTGGCGCAAACCCTCTTTTAAAAAGACTTTAGAAACAAAACTAGAAAATACTTCACACACACACACACACACACACACACACACACACTGCAGTCCTTTCTCAAATAAATCGGAGTTCCTGCCTTAGACTGACTGCATTAACATTGTTATGATATTTTAAACTCGATGGTACAGTGAGAGCCTCACATACTTAAATATTTTTTTTAATGCATGAGATTTAAACTCGTTTTCTTACTTTAAATAGACGTATATTAACTCTCTGTTTAGGCTGCGAGACCTCCTAGCTTAGTATAACAGCCCAACAAAATAAGAGTGGATACAAACTCTGTAATTTACTCACAGGCATAAATGGATATATAAATGTAAAAATGTGCACAATTTGTATGCCACGCGTGGCTTCATTGTGACCTAATGTTTATAATATGTAAATAATGGCTTCCTTTTAAAGCAAAGAACTTTTAATATACAGATTCATCTGAAGTCCTTTTTCTTTAATATAAACAGAAATAGAAAAAAAGAATGCCTTTGCAATAAAGAAATACCCAACAGCAAAGGTTACCATTGAACGGGATTTAAAATGACAGACGTCAACAGAAAACTTTCAATATCATACTTCCACTTTCATAGGAAGATATTGCTATCAAAGGAAAAGACTCAAGAAATTCTTTGATAAAAATAATCTCACACTATCTTTGAAGCAGTTTCATTTATTTTACTACCCACTGTGTTCCTTATCTGAAGGCCAAGGGTAAGAAGTTTTCCTGGTTATGATTAGGAAAGAATCTGATAGATCAGAAGACCCAATTGAAGTTGGACATAATAAGTATTAAAGTATCACATGACATTAATCCTGCCATTCCATTACTCTCTCCATCTTTGAGCGCAGACTAATTATTCTGAACCAGTGTTCGGGAGAAAACAGGAACTACTTACCCCGGGCTGGAGCAATCTCTTTATCGCATCGACGAGGCTGGCTCTGTACTGGTCCAGAAACAGGCTGCCATTGAGAAGAGAGCAGAATCCAGATTAAACTGGGTTTCCAAGTCTAATGATACTAATGGAGATAAGTACAGGGCTAATGACACGTGTTTACTCAACGCTAAAAAAAGAGAGAAGTTGCATTTTTCTATTCAGATGTCTTGCCGGGGGAGAAGAAAAGATACTGTGGTCAGTGGTATTGCAATCGAAGCGAAGGCAGATCATCAGCATGCAGTGGGCCCGGATTCACATACTCTGGACCACCGGTTATTGTTAACGGGACGATTTCTAAGCTTCTGTTTGGAGGAATCATCTGGCCGAGATGAAGCTCTCCCAGCACTTCCCGCCATCGGAGCTCAGTCTCTGTAGACCCGGGCCCTCAGCACACCAAGGGTGCTATGGACCACCCTCCAAAAATACACCGCCAGAGCATCTCAGGTGCTGATGGCTTTTAGTGACTAGGAACAGCGCTGAGGTTAGATTCAACCAGGGACCCAGGACTAAATGGTTCCGGAAACAAAGATAAGGTTTAGGGAACATGTCACAGAGACCATGGTAACTTAGGATTTCTCCCCTTTGATCTCCATGTTGATTTTTTTTTTCCAGTTCACTGTCATCTTCCTTTTTTTATCTTCTGGTCTTTGGGGGATTTGTTGTAGCTCTGTCATCCCTTTGGTTGGGTCAGTCTGACCCTGTCTTTACCAGGCCTCATCTTGGAAGCTCGGGACAGAGTTTGCTTATCTGGGACTTGCAGGCTGGGACACTGGGCAGCTGTGCATCAGCCACCCCAAGAGGAGCCTAAGCCCACCCTCTCCCATCCCCGATGCTATCGTTTGGAGTAGGCCCCTCCAATTTCACCTCCCTGCTCCTCACAAAGCATGAGTAAGTACTGCCCACTCCAGGGTTCTGCCTCATCCTTCTTGGAGCTGAGGGTATCGGCCGTCAGCAGGAGCCACACTGCAGGCAAGGGTGGAGGGCAGTTCACTGTTTAATAGAGCTTTGGCTCTGACCTCTCTGCTATGCCACCTTGACAAGTCACTTCCCATGAGGTCTCTGTGTCTTTATCAATAAAGGCCCACCTATGTGGCTGTGGTGGAACCAAATTAAGAATACATATTAGTTGGCAAATATTTCTTGTTATAAAATCTGCCTTTAAGTCTTGTTCATCAGTGACTAATAACCATTAAGGGTTGACAAGGAAGAAATCAAGTTATATCTAAGTGTCTTAAACTCTTTCTCTTCAGGACTGTATACCTTATTCTTTAGTGAGGTACTGATACCTTAGGTTTTAATAACTAAGCATTTTGGTTTTGTTTTTTAAGAAGACTATCAGTGTGGGAGGATATCTCTGTCAGGTACTCAGGCCCATAGAAAACCTGGCTGGTTGGGGTACGCAGCACTAAGCAAAAGACCATGCTCAGTGTACACCTGTGCATCCTAAGAGCTGGTAAGATTGTTGGAATAAAAAACAGCATCTTAAAAGCTGAGTATAAAACATAACCTTATAAAGCACTATGTCTACTTAATGTTGGCAATGGTGGCAGAGATATTAATTAGCATCCCCACTTGCTGAAAAATGCAGCTTAACACATAGGACACATTCCAAGTACACTTATCCGAAAGGTAATGTCGCCTACTCCATCCAAATCAAATTCCCCAAAAGTAATTCCTGTAGTTTCCTAAGTGGTCTTTATTCCAAGCAAGCTCACCTGCCTCCTTAGCCCTGCTGCAGACTTTATAACCCTTTGCAGGATAGTCCTATGAGCAATTTCAATGTGCTTTAGTAGGAGTGATATATAATCTCTGGAAAATTCGCCCCTTAAATGGTCCTAATGGGCTCAGAGAACAGCAGTAGCTTAAGTGGATCTATTTAAAAAGGCTGAGCAGGTCAGTGATGGGAATGGAGATACCATTTCAACTCTCCCCTTCGGTTACTGATCAAAGGGCATCGACAGCTAGCCTCGGTTGGCCATTAAGACACACACACACACACACACACACACACACACACACACACACGCATCTCTACAGAAGTCACTCGTGGAATCAAACTTGCTTTGTTCCATTGACCTGAACCACATATTTTATGAGAAAGGAAAGGTGCCGGGCCATTTTCATCCCCTCCCTCAGAATCAGCCTGTTTGGAGCAGTGCACAGAGCATGTCCATCTCCTCTCACAGGGAAATTAATTAGTGCAGAGGAAAAGAGGCATTTCCCTGTCACTGTTCACAAAAGGAAGCCCTCTGGTAATTTTCAAGGTGAAATGTGCTGTTACATTCACTGTCTCGGGTGAACTTTCAGCGGTGAACGGCCTCTGCCAGTGGTTATCAGCGGACTGTTGCGGAAGCTAGCACGCGTGCCCTATGCTGATCCCACTTGCTCTGCCCCTTGCGCTGTAAGATCCTTGGCACTTTGTGTATCTGCTGGGGACTGTGTCTTCCGGTGTGAGGGGAAAGGGCTCACTACGTTTGGGTTAAAGATCTTTTCAGGAGTAAAAATCTTTAAGGTGTGATTTAGAAATATCCATGATCACAGCATCTGAAAAAAAACAAAGAAATCCTAGAGCCTATTTTGAAAAAAATGTTTTCACAAAAACCAAACTTTAAAAAAAAATCATTAAAAGTGAAAAGGAAGAGCTAAACCGGTTTGGCTCAGTGGATAGAGCATCGACCTGCGGACTGAAAGGTCCCAGGTTCTATTCCGGTCAAGGGCATGTACCATGGTTGTGGGCGTGTCCCCGGTAGGGGGTGTGGGAGAGGCAGCTGATCGATGATTCTCTCTCATCGATGTTTCTAACTCTCTATCCCTCTCTCTTCCTCTCTGAAAAAAATCAATAAAACATATATATATATATATATATATATATATATATATATATATATATATATATATTTTTTTTTTTTTTTAAAGTAAAAAGGAAGAGAAAATAGAAACAATCCAGTGTCCACAGTGAAAATGCTGAGAGCAAAGGAGGTGATGTGCCTTCCCCGTTTCTTTCCCATGTCTGGCTGCAGGCATGCACAGGTGGAGCTGACTCCCACACACCTCGCTCCACGCGGCTGGCTCCGGCTGGCATGTCAGACTCTCTCCAAGCTCTTAGAGAGTCCAGGAGTGCAGAATCATTTTTCTTTCAGCTACAATAAACTGGAAAGCCATCAAACGCTGAATGAGAGCGTTCATTGGATTAAAAAAAAAAAATCTGACTTCCAGGCTCTTAGATTATTGGGGTTGAACAGGAGTCTGGAAAGGCAGACTTTAATAGTAACAATCACTCGCTTTTCTAAACTCAGCAAGGACTGGGCTGGACTGCATTCCAATGCAAAGGGAACTCATATTAAATTCAACATTAAACAAGTCAACCAAGGAACGTAATAGGCAGGGGTTTTTTTTGTTTTGTTTTGTTTTTTACACCTGTGGTTAAATATTCAAACATTTGGATGTTTTTTTTGTCCACAGCTTCCCTTTTGCAGGTGTGGCTGTCCCTCGATCTTTCCTTTCTGTTTATTTCAAAGTTGACATTTTATAAGTTATTTAGGAACTGTTGAACCATGAAACTATATTTCATTGTCAAAAATGCTGAACGGTAAAATAATGACTAGCTTTCACAGCTTTCCTTTTTATTTTATAATCTAGGTGAGCTAATAATTTAGATGTGAGCCAAGAGACTGTGTCTCCCGGGAAATAAGTTATTTCCCCCGGTACCCACAGGTCTGTGAATGTTTGAATGTAAATATATGAATATATGAATGATTCAGGAACATAAACATATCACCGCCTGTTGTAATCATGTGCATTTTTACTTGAGCCACAATGTGGATTGGGAATAGGTCTGTGAATAGAGCTTGTTTTCATGTAAATGGGATCAAGCAGTACCACTGGTTAGCTATTCAGGGAATCAGACAATGCCATCCTTGCTGGAAACGCTTCACTAAGAATTTAATCCATGTACCTAATATTCGAACTCTGACTCTTGCTTCATATTCCTGGGGCCTAATCCAGATCTCCTTGGCTGACAATGACTAAAGGATGGGGTGAGACTTAAGTGATCTATTTATGTGTGGTATCTATTTTTGGCACTAGGCATTGCAGGTTTCATCTTGGTGGTGGTGTCTAAAGGGAGCTTTCTTTTCGTCCTCTGTCACATTCTAAAAAAAAAAAAAAAAAAAGCTGCCTGGTCTGCCTGCCTGCCCCTAGAAGCAGCAGCCAGGCAGAAACGCTGATAGGGAAATGCCAAGCCTACAGGATGTAAAGAGCTCATGGAGCCCCGGGCCTCACTGCTCTAGGCACAACATGCATATTACAAAGACCACACTGTACTTTCTAAGCCGTTTACCTATCCCTGTGACTATCTATGAAGAGAGACCATTACCAAAGCATTTCTTTTGGAAATAATATCAGCATCGCAGTGACCGTAACTTAATGTTTCACATTTCCTAATGGGAAATTATAAACAGGCTGACATTCTGGCACTTAGAACACCAGAAAGAAAAACAAACAAACAAACCTGAATTTATGCATAGAAAAGCCATTTATAAACTGAAAATTGGGTCTATTTAGTTCATTTGAATTCCTAATTTCTCATAGAGCCACTAGATGTGTATGTGCGGTGTGTCTACTGTGTTGTGTTATATATTTGCAATGAAAGCGTTCAGTGAATATGCAATATGGGTACCAGTGGTATGTGACCCTGTGGGCTAGGAAAAAAAGACTATTTTTCAAATATGCTGTGTGGCTATTTTTAACCTGAAAACATTAATCATAAAAGAGCTTATACTTCCTCTGCTTGTCTCTCTGGTACAAATAGGATGACATGGTGTGAGTGTCCACAACACAAGGTCTGACAAGAACGGGCTGTTTTGATATTTGTGCAAAGGACAGACGTAACCTAAATCTCTTGGCCAGACCTGACTTTCCCCACATAATCAGAGCCCATCCATGTGCGACCCCGTCTAAGCCTCCCAGAAGATGCTGCCCTCCGTCCCTCTTGCCGCTGCTCTCTGATCTGACTTTCCTGCTTAATCTGATCTAATCCTGCCAGCATTATCTTCATCTGTGCAATGAAACCTGGAGGATCTTTCTCGTATTTGGTGAGGAAAGGCATTTACTAAATTACATGCTCACATCACATGGTGAGATTTTATTTCCTTATTTTTGATTAGATGAGGGATGTAATATTGAGACACACTATCAGTGATGAACCAGAAATCTGTTTCTTCCTTCTTTGGAACAGGTATTCTGAAATTGGGTTCAAAGGGACTAAAATGGCACGGAAAGCTAGAAAATCCCAAGCTAAAAATAAAACAAAATATTAATTTTTTATTGAGAAGTACTTACCAGAAGAAAAAAGAAAGAAAATCTAATTTCATTAATCTGGGTAAAAAAGTTACCCATTAAAAATTGTATCAAGTAATACTAATACTAATACTAATACTAATACTAATAATGAAAACTTCCTGAAAATGTCATCCTATTCATCCAACTCTCTGAGAGGGAGTCTTCTCTGGGCTCTGGGTCTTATGATTGAGTTTATCAATATAATAGATCTTTAGAATCTGAACTTAAGTGTCATAAAAACATCAAGATAAACACACAAATAAGATCTTATTCTTAACAGGGAAAATGATTGTGAATTGTTAACATTCCCCATATGCTGAAACAATTATTATTCAACACGCATGAAGAAAATGCATAAGATTAGTTGAAATCATTATTAAGGTTTGATACATATTTATCCTGTAACTTGGGATCAGACTGTCATTAACAATAAGTAGACTGGGCTAAAAGTGAAGAGAAAATATGTAAATTATTTTCAAAAAGCAGGCACCTGACAGAGATTTTAATATTATTATTTGCATAACAATTAGATTATAATTTTATAATTCTTATTTTATGTATAACTAAATATCATAATTGAATACATTGAAAAATATTAGATAGCAAACATACATTTGAAGAAAAGCTATTTCCCCTAAAGATATTCCATATATATGTTTATTTACTGAAGCATATATATGTGTGTGCACACATACATATATTCCCTTATATCAATAGTCAGATCTCTCCTAAGAAGTAAGCTAATTGAGCTGCTTGTGTTGATAAACTCCTTTTTCTCCAGACTATTCCTCTCCGAGCCATAATTATTTGCAATTTGCCTAAGTCGTCCATTTACTGATACGTCAAGCATGAAACAGAGGCAATTCCAGAAAATGGAAATGCTTCTCAAAATCAATCTTTGGGAAATAATGTGGTAGAAGTTACTGTGTGATAGGAGACTACCTTATAACTGTCACAGGGAGATGAATATTAATTTGTTGAGGTTAAGGTGGCTTTGTGCTTCATTTGTTGACTTTGCTTAGCTGACAGCAAAGCAGCACAGCCCAATTACTCCAGCAAAGCTATTTTTTTCCTAACAGGAGTTTTATGATTTTTATGTACTTACCAGTCAGCACACATAACCATGTCAAAATGTCCTTCCAGTTGAGAGACATCTGTCTCATTATCCCATCGTAAAACGCTTGAGGAGAAAAAGATTTTAAAAAAATTATACTTAGGGTTGTTTTTTTTTTGCTGCTGTTGTTTTTTTTTTTTTTTTTTTTTTTTACTTTTGATTTTGAGCTATTAACATTATTTTTTTTGTGGCACTTGAAATTATTTAAAAGGCAAACTATTTCAAAAAGTATAATAAAAAAAAACTAGAACATAACGGTCTGTTCTGTATTTTATTTAGTCATCAATTCTAGAAGAGGCAGAATTCTCTATTTAAATACAATAGTTAAGCTTTTGCAAGGTTTTATATGTTTTGGAGACAAATTAGGAAAAAGTATCTTATCTTTACCATAGTCATTAAAATGAGTCTAGATTCACATATTAAAATCAAAGTATTCCCCATCTGACCAAAATACAAATTTGTAAAAATAAAGGATGTGAAATAGCATATATTGTGCTTGGCATGTCAGCGGCATTTCTTACTAATGAAATTAGCAATCAGGCAAGATGGAGGAAAAGACTTTCACTCAATAGCTCTCAGTTTTCAGGTGCAGTTAAAAAATCACCCATCCTAACAGCCTCCCCAACACCCTCAACATGGCTAAATTTGGGTAGTTATCAGTCTTCATTTTACTGGCCCTATCAGCATGGGACTGTCCCCTGATCTGCAAGTTCATATATCCAACTTCCTATTTTAATAATTCCACTTGGAAAACTAGCAGATATCTCAAACTTCATATGCTCAATATTAAATTCCTCCTCATCTCTCCCTGTCCTCCCTCCAAATTCATTTCAAGCACAGTCTTTCTCATCTGTTAATCCCATCTTTCCAGCTGCTAAAGCCAAAACCCTTGACTATGACTATATCCCCAACTCCTTTTTTCTGTTGTATCCCTGTTGAATGTGCCTGGAAATGTTGTTCATTCTACCCTTGAAATATGTCAAAATCCACCTTCTCTCCTTCTACTGCTTCACCCTAGAAAGAATTATTATCATCTCTCATCTGATTTAATTCAGTCTCTTAATAGATTTCCCTGCTTCCACCTATCACCCCACAATTTCTGCTCAAGACAGCAGCCAGAATTACCCTTGCAAATCATATTTCAAATCACAAACCTTGTCTTCTTACTATCTTCTAATGGCTCCTCTCCACTCATAGTAAAAGCCAGTCTTGACAATGACCCATAAGACCCTATTCAATCCAGTTCCCATGCTGACCTCATTTCCTATGACTCTTCCCTTGGTCTTTGCTCTAGCAACAGAGGTCTCTCTATGATCATTTGAATATACCAGGCATGCTTCTGCTTTAGGGTCTTTAAATAAGCTGTTCCCTTGTGTAAATGCTCTTCTTCCATGCAACCCATGGCTCGTTCCCTCACTTCCTTCAAGTCTTGGCTCAAATGTGTTACCTTCTCAAGTAAGACTTCCATTCTGCTTAAAAACTGCAATCATTAATTTCTATTTCAGTACTCCTGAAACCCTTAACCCACTCTGTATTTTTCTATAGTGATTATTACCCTTTAATGTGCTATATACCTGAATTATTAATTTTGTTTTTTCTCTTTCTCAGGTAGAACATAAGCACCATAGGGGCAAATATTTTTTTTTTACCAGACAGGCGCTTTAACCAACTAAACAACGGCGCCACCCCAAATATTTTTTTTTAAAAACCTGTTTTGTACTAGGATGTATCTTCATTGCCTAGAACAGTCCCTGACACCTAATAGCTGTTCAATAAGTACGTCCTATCAATGAATTCTGTATGAGTGTACCTAGCATAGTGCTGGCACACAGAGAGCACTCAAGAAATAGAGGCTCCATAATAAGTTGTTCTCTGAATGCAGTGTGTAGTTTAGCCACCTATTCAAGCCACAAGTGTGTACGGGATGACACTCCAACCAACTGAACTTCACAAGTTAGGAGAGGAGATTTTAAATGCTAGTGAAACTCCTAAAAAACAACAACAGCTTAACCAGGAAGAAATCACCCTGTTCTTGGAAAAGAAGATGCAAAGTCATAAAGATATTAAGTTGTAGTCAATCATATATTTCAATGAAAATGCCTATACTGCATACTCTAAATACCAACATAATTTTATAATAGTCTAGCAAGAAAGAATAATGCAAGGGACTAGTCTTTAACAGATGTAAAAATACATTATAAAGTTTCAGAATTTCCATAATTTGATGTGAATAGACAAAGTCCACTTCTAAAAATTGGCTCTGCATACATACTTGCAAATGAACAGTTTATGTGCAGGTGTGTTTCACTGCAGCATTATTTGTTATAGCAAAGTGATGAAACAAATGTCTATTATTAAAGTAAAAATGATTTTTAACAATAGATTATGATGTGGTCATACTCTTAAAAATTTTGTTTAAGACTGCCCCTCATCCAGTGAAAAGTGACAAAATCCTTTGAAAATGAAGACATTTTTATTTGATATATAACTTCTGTGATATAAACATCTATCTAGGAAGGTGGTTTTTTTTTTTGGTTTTTTTTTCCTTAAAACTGGAAGACATTTTCACAGAGAATGCAGTAGTCTAACCTGAATACCTTGCTATCAAAATAGAACTTAGCCCATTTTAGGTAGTGAGAATTTGACCTGGTCAAAGAATAGAGATCATAGTGTCCAAAGAGTTAATACAATGTTATTCTAGAAGAAAAGGTCTGAATTTTAAATATGCTGCAGTTTAGAGGGCCCCTAAAAATAGTGTCTCATATTTTAAAATCTGCCTCATTTTAATAAAAAAAAAAAGAATGCTTTCAAAATATCTGAAAATGGATAACATTCCTGTGGGAGTTGTTTTCTTTGGTGCAAAGAAGCTGGGGCATCAGTCCTTCTACAAACGTGTCAAGCAAATAAAAAAATGTTATGTTAGTCATAGAAAGTACACTTGGTAATTTCATTTTTCCATATCTGACATCTCTAGAATTCTCAGCAGTGCTCAAGATTGCGTTACCATAATTCTAGCAAACTCACTAATAGGTGCATTTTATCAGAACATTTCTTTAAGAGAGCCCTCAGCTTCCTTATCTCAGTTACCTTCTACTAACCTTCCTCTTCAACCTGACAAAGGATAGATAAATGCCTACTTACAATGTCTGGTTGTCTACAGACACTGCGTGTCTCTGCCAGAGAAGAACCCTACCCTGAAATGGAAGTCAGCGATCGGATATATAAACTGGTGTCTGCATTGCCAGCGCTTTCCTTTCCTCCCCTAAAAACTGTTTTGGTTCCCTAAGTCTTGTGGATTCATAGCTTTCAAAAGGTGCTCCTAATACAAGTCTTAAAACCTTCCCTATAACAGGAATAAAGTATACAAATTGCTTCAGAGAATACAAAAACATATTAAGCAGAATCCTTGCCTTCAAAAACATTATCTGCCTCGCTTATATGAATGTTAATTCTAAGAAGACATGGGCGTTCTCAGTCCTGTTCATCATTCAATCTACAGCACTTGGAACAGTACTTGGCAAAAGGGATCGAAATACTTGTCAAGATATGGATGCACCAGTGAACGTGAAAACAAAGACAACACGCTTTGAACAGTAAGAGAATGCACTGTGGGACTACTCTAAGGCCAATAGAAGTGAAAAGAAGAAAGAAGAAGAAGAGGGCAGGCTAGACTAGCCAGGAGAAAATGGTAACATCCTAGAAGGAAGGACCCGGATGGGTGAGGAGGAGGGGAATAAGATGGGCAGAGACCAGAGGTGGGAAGGACCAAATGTGTTAGGAGGAGAATGAAGAGGCTTGGGTGACAAAGGAGAAGGTGTACGTGGGGGAGCCGTGGAAGCCAGGTTGAGGGAAGAGAGTGAGGAAAGTGAGAAGACTGAGAGGCCTGGAAAACCACCAACTGCATCCCACTGGGTTGGGGTTTCCATTTAAAAATCACTTTTCACCCCCCCCCATTTAATCTTTAATGGAAAATGAGCCCCCGAAAAGATATAAATCTTAAAAGGGAGTAGGGCAATGGGGCCAGTAGTCAATCCTGGGGACCTGCATAAAGGTATAATTTGAGTTATAAAAAAAGTCTTAAAAGTTATAATAAGTTCCATAGTTTACTAAGACTAATGGTTTATCAAAGAACAATAAAAGTCACAGGCCTAAATTCACTAGCAATTTTCACACAAAGATAACCTTTTTTCTTAAGTAGAAATTCACTTTTAATATCACAGCAGGGTATATTTAATAGATTTTTTTTTTTTTAAATTCGTAACTGTTCATATTACCCATAGAATGACGCCACTCACTAATTCTGGAACACCTAGAAATAAGTAGGCGTCAAAAGCTCTGAATGGTTCTTTATGAGACCGTCACCGTTTGGAAGACAGCTTCAGATAAACCTAACAATTGAGATGCTGTAAATACATTTGCTCTTTCACCAATCTCTAGCTATATTTAGCAGCACCGCTTCCTTTGTTCGAGAATTATTCTTGATTATTGCACAACTTACGTTCTCAAAGGCAGACTACCTTGGACATATTAGGTAAATGAATGGATGGCTGCAAGGATGAACAAATGAATGAAACATCAAAAAAACTGTATTAAGATCTTTGAGGTATCATTGCTATATGCCTCACCCAGGAACACCCTAGCTCTTCCTTGGCCAGAGCTAAAGCTCCTGGGCTTTCCCACCAGGTCTTTCATATTTAGCAACGACCAGGCGGGGATTACAATGGAACAGAGGGGGTAAGGACGTAGACAAGGGAAGAGCGTTATTCTGGGCAAGGTTGGTGGCGTTTATGAGAGCAGGGCTGGATTTACTGGGAAGCTAATGAAGCTTAACTGCCATGAGGAGCCCTAGTAATGCGTTCACTCGGTAGTATGCTTCTGTAAAATTTGCTGAAGTAAGGTATAATCAAATTCATCACCCTAAAGAGGGCCCTCAACATAAGTTTCAGGCCCCACACAACCTGGGTCTGCCCTGTGTGAGAGGCAGGCAGAGGCTCGATGGCAGGAGAAGTGCTGGTCGTTAGAGAACACGGTCAGGGCAGTGAAAATGGGAGCTCAGAGGGCCAGTCTAACCTCTGTGTGGCTTTTTGTTCCTTTTTTTTAAAAGCACAATTTCCTAGGCTCCCAGTTCTCAGATCATGATTTTTCCTTTTTGCTTTTCTATCTTCTTTGCAAATGAAGTCACAGGAGACATTTAGCTGTTATAAACTTCATGTCAAGCTCTGAAGTGCTTCTTAATAGCAGAAATATTTGGCTCACATATGTGGGCTTTGGAGCTGTGGTAAATACCTCTTCGTTATCTGTCGCGACTGTTATCCCACACCTCCAATTTGGAGAAGAGATTCTGCATATGCATCGAGGCATTAAAAAAAGGAATATTGTGCCATATCTTAGCTCTTTTGTGAGCGGTTTCCTTTTCTTTCTTCTCCTGTGGAGCGAAGGCTTTTTATCATATTGCACTGGTCATGGGTGGGAAAGCAGTAGATGGCAGGGGAATACTGATTATTACATCACTGGTTGGCAGTTTCCTCTTAGCTTCTTAAAGGTTAAGTGGTCAAGTAGCTTCTTAATAAAAGATCAAGGCATTTCAAGGACTAACTCATTCACCTGTTTTCTGACAAAGCTCTTTAGTAGATTTTGGACAAAATGCTTGCAGTGGTTAAAAATGAAGAAATTGACCAGAGTTGATATGAAATAAAGACACACACACACACACACACACAAAACTACCTTGGAGTAGTTTTTTTGACATATAGACTATATGTCTACGAGGTACATATCAGAACAATATATTTAGAAGTAGCATTTTGAGAACAGATAATAGAAACAAAGGCCATGTATTATAGTAAGCATTTTTTGAATATGTACTGTGTGGAACAATGCCATTTTACTTCTTTTTTGTAACTTAATTATTTTATGAAGAGATGACAGAAAATACTATTACACTTCGTAAGTTAAACACTTGACATTTTGATTTCTCAAAATGCAACATTTTAGAAGTCTAGATATGTTTATTTATTAGTGATTATTAACACCCAGTAAACAACATTATGTCTTGTAAAAACACAACCTCTCTTCACAGCATGATGCTGAAATCTATTATTCCCTGATTCCATATGCTGAAATACACTCAAATGCTCACAAATGACCTGAAGCATTCCATAAATGTAAATGAGGACAACATAGCAAGTGTGCATTTGATTGATAACTAAAAGACCAGGTTGAGAACCACATCCAAAAAGGAAGTCCTCTCCAGAAGGGCCTGAAGTCTGCGCTGGAAGCAATGGCTCCTAAGAATGCTCTTTCTAGGACTTGCCAGCAGTGTTCTGGGAAACAGAACCGGTTTGTTCATTTATATAAAAACACACAGCACACTGCTCCCTGTGCTATCAGCCAGCATTTTCATACAGGATTGAAAAATGCATATCTGGCCCTGGCTGGTGTTTCTCAGTGGTTAGTGCATTGGCCCATAGACTGAAAGGTTTCGGGTTTGATTCCAGGTCAAAGGCATGTACAAGAATCAACCAGTGTTAGCATCAATAAGTGGAAGAGCAAATCTGTCTCTTTCTCTTCATTTCCTTTCCTCTCCAAAAAAGAAAAAAGTCTATCAAGGAATACATAATTAAATAAAGCAGGTGGCTGGGTTTCTCTCAACCTCACACGGTACACTCTCAACCCTACATAATTTCCACCCAGTGTACAATATGTTTATCTTCAGTTTTTCCTCATCTATTTATTTAGGGTAATAAGAATACCTGCTTGCCTCATTATGGTTTTTGTGAACATTGAATAAGATACTTATAAAATGCTTAGAACAGTAAATGCTCACTAAATGTTAGCTCTTATTATTTTTAATGATCACCCAGAGTATGGACAAAAGCACTTTAAACCAGAGCGTGTTGATGCAGGAAGGTAACTTACCAGCTTGATACGTTCTGAGTCTTAAACACACCAGCCTTCTGATTCCTTTGGATGATGTCTCTCACATCTGTCGGACGTAGTTAAGAAAGCTTCTGCTGTCAATGGACTAAAAATAAATAAATAAAAGCCCACAACCACAGGGATGTTATCGGACAGGGGGTCAGTGACAAGAGAAGAGGTGTAGGGTGATATAAGGCAGGCTCTGGCCCTCCCACCAAATGTTAAATTACTTGCCACAGGCAATCTCTTTGAATTCCCTGGGCTGCAGTGTTGTTACCTGGGAAATGGACACTCAGGGAACATCCGGGCAAGGCCCACTGGGGGCACCGGTGGGGGAGATGACTCTCCCCTAGGTACAAGCCCCACTCACTTCAAAAGCAAAGGTCCGCAGTCACCGGGGAGGGCAATGGGCAGTCTCCTGAGACATTCCAGGGTGAAAGCTAGGAGGGAGGGTGGGATGAGCAGCAGAGAAAACTTGGGAGGAAGTGGGATGAGGAAGATGAAGAGAAGCCCAGAGATTCTTCGAGAGAAAATAAATTACTAAAGAACATCAACCCGGTGAAAGGCCCCTCGATGCACTGTCCTCATGGTCTTACGCTCCGGCCTTTGGCCATCTGCTGGTGTGCAAGCACTTGTGCAAAAAGAGCCATGTCTATTGGAAAATGTCTTGGGGAGCTGGTCATTTACATCACGCAACACCATCGCCAGGAGGGCCCATGGGGAAAATCACACTGGGGGTCAGCATGGGAAATGCTAGACTTCAGATTGACAGTTAGTTTTGCTTCAACTTCTATAAACTTTATAACTGTTCCTCTTTCTCTTTTTGCTCTAGTCCCTGTGCTTCTCAGACCCAAGTCTGACAGCCACAGCAGCTCCTCCCTGCTGGGTGTATCTTCTATACCGACCTCCACCCCTGGCTTCATCATGTGTTCTTGGCTTTCTCATTTTCAATTGCCCTCACTTTCTCCTTTATTGCACATGGTATATTCTACATGTCACTGTAAGAAACCTCAAAATCCCTCTTTTGGAATAAGGCAGGCTTACATAAACAAGAAATAAAATAATTCCAGCGAAGGCTGCAAGCTGAACTAAAGTGGGCCCATGGGGAGGACACCAAGCAGACAAGCGATGTTCCCCTATTGCTCAGAAAAACACATTTCCTGAATGCTGGAGGCGAGCTCAGGCCCAGGTCTCCCTCCCTGCAAGAACAGAGCCACAGGGCGTTCTAACCCACATCTCTGCTTGAAACACCAGGCACACCCATTTCTTCTCGGAGTGAATGAGCAGGTACTGCGATAGCTTTCTTCCCCCCGGAGAGGGGAGGAAAAATCAATTAGGTCTCCTAATGAAGGGCTTTGCTGAGGTTTACAAAAGTGCTATACGGCAGACTTTTTTTCTTTTTCTTTCCTGGATGAACTTTCCTGTATGCAAATTAAATACTGTTAAATTACATTCATTAAAAAAATGAAAGAGACTAATTTGCCTACTTGTTTTGATTAACTGAAATGACACATAGGCCTACAGTTCTATTTCAGGAAGAAAGTATTTCAGGAAAGTCTTCTACGTCTTGTAGAGAAGGACAGCTGACATCTTTATTCTGAGAACAAAATGAGTAGTCAGCTGACAACTGGTTTTTGACTGAGCTCCCCCACACGCTGGCCACACCCGAGTCAGTGTTTCCATGGCAGCCAACTGCAAGCCATAATGTGACAGGTACACCTGTCGCGTCCTGTGAGTACATGCCTAATCTATCAAGCAAAACATGTTATTTTGTTACTGGAGGTAATACTTTTTTATAAAATAGTCACAGGGAAATGAAATTATATAACTCGGAAAACCTATTAATAATTTTTAGTAAACATCTTAACACTATATACTTTTATACCATTTATAAGCCCGTGACTGCAGGTGGTCAGGCTGAAGCAAGCATATATATTTATATTCTAGGAGCAATTTTTTTTTAAATGAAAAAATTCGCAGCAGTATTTAGGCTGCTTTATTTTTTAGAACTGGGAAGAAAATATACTTGGTTTAGAAAAAAAAAATGTCAATCGTGTGTAAAAATACTACCTTAAGAGAGAGATTCTGACATTCTGATCCCTACCCTTTACTTTAGAGGGGGTTTCTGGGTGGTTCCTCTAGTTGGCACTGTGCCCAATAATAAATATTGCCTTTCTTCTGTGTCACCTCAGCATAATAAAGGAAACTCAATCCAATGGAGTCAGTCCATCCGGGACAGTTCTGAGCAGGATGGACCCAATCGTGTTCTCTAAACTGCACCCACCTTCTGGGAGACGTCAGTGGGAGGTGCTTGGCCATTTACATTACACAACACTATCTCCAGGAGGGCCCTGGGAAAAATCACATTGGGTTGTCAGCATGGGAAACGCTAGGCTTCAGACTGAGAAATCAGAGAGATTTCTGGTTCAATGGATGCAGAGTAATCACCTCCAATCGCCTTGCCTGGGCAAGCAGACTTCCAGAGCCAGAGGACACATGCTTGTGGCTAAAAGGACGCCAGGATTCTAGCTCCACATGGTCTTCTCAAATGAAGCAAAGTTTAGGAGTGGGGCTCCATTATAATTTTGCTTCAGTTGATTTTTATTCTTAAAATTATATTTTTGCATAATAATACCACTTATTTCAACAAATTAAGTTACATATTATACATGATATTATTCAAAATATTAATCTCCTTCTGCAATTAGTGGTTGCTATATTTATCAGTAGTCACATATACATTCTGGAGAATTGGTATTGCTGTTTAAACAAGAAAGCATTTGAAAAAGAACATTGCGATTCACAAGGCATTACTTTCTTGGTTCATGTTTCCTTTATTGTTTCACTGGGACATCAAAGGTGAGAGCAGGAAACTATGAAATTATTATGTAAACCCTGTTTATTTTTATTTCTAAAGTTTTTAAAATTACTTGATGTGGCAATATTTGCTAATTTAAAGGTCGCAAAATATTCCTAAGTGTGCTTATTACTCACATGAATTGAGAAGATGGCATAGAGGTGATCTGAACTCTTTTAGCAATGTCAACTGTGGTTTATGGATGAGAGAACTTTTCTTGCAGAGGGCGCTGAGGAAATGCAAGAGGACCTTCATCCAAGCAACCTGGCTTTTGGTAAAGAGAGTTGTTTAATGGGAGAAAAATGCACTTTGAAGTCAACTGACCCTGGCTTCTAGTGCTGGTTCCGATTCTCAGTGGCTGTGCAAACGTGAGTCAATTAACCTCCCTGAGCTCCATCTCAAAAACAGGAATGATGATCCCTCATCTATAGGCTTATTGGGTCACATACGAGGAACCTGACACATAGTAGGTGCCTAATTCATGTCAATTAATTATCTTTTCCAATAATTCAAGTAAAAGCTTTGGAGCGATGAAGAGGCTGGTGATTGTAACTCAAATGAGATTTGGCAATTAAGCTTTACCTTCTTTCCCTGCCACTCAGAGACAATTAAGTGAACATTTATATTGTAGAATTCTAATAACTGGAGGAAATCCAAGAACTTCTGCCCTGTAGATTTACATGTATAAATGTGCTCTAACCAAGCTGTGACCCACAAAGACAGGGACTTGGTCTGTCTTGTCCTCTGCTGTCTCTTGAGCACCTGAAATGCCTGCAATGAATGCTGGCTGAATTAATTTTAATTAATTAACTAAAAATCAAGTTTCAAAGCTACTTCTTGAGTTCTTGCCCAGTATGAGGCACACAAAAGTCCATTTATGACTCATCTTGTAAACAGGAGTGGTGGCATCAATAGTTCAGCTGGTGTGGGTATTGCAGGAGAGGTCTGGATGGAGAAGGAGGGCCCGGCATTCCCAAGGTCCCAACTCTCCCCAATCAGACTGCACAGTCCACGTGTGGCTTCACTGATCGATGCCTTTAAACCAGGGATTCTGTTAAAATAATGGTAAGCCAGGGGTATCCTCTAAAATGGACATGAAATTAACCAAATTTGGAAGAATCTTAAGTTTGAGATCATGATCCAGACTGTGCACTCTGTGGGGATGAGATGCTTAGGTCAGGGGCACAGCAAATGTGTCACCAAGCATTGCCAGATGCTGCAGATGACAACTTGATGTTTACTGAGGAGGGGTCAAGGCGGGATGCTTGCGTTGGGCGAGTAGTGAGGGCTGCTCTCCTTTAGATGTTGTACTTTTATTCATTATGATTTGGAAGAAGTTTAGCATAATAATAACTCAATATATCCTTTCTCTCCTCTATTCTTATGTCATTGCCATCGCCAGCTACAAATTTTAAGGAGTAATTATTATCTGTGGGCACTAGGAGAATTCTTAATTACACTAAAAGGGCAGCACCAAAGACAAAGATAAATTTGAGAAATGGATGAACCAAATGATGCTATTTTCTAATTTATCCTTTGTTCTCTCTGAGTACAGCTAAATGACGGCATCAGTAAGGAGAGGCCCTCTGAGATAGGGGACTCTGTAGTTTAAGGACCACGGAGAGCCTCAGAGACATCCACCCAGGAGTCTGAGAAAATGTTCAGACTTACAACATTCGCTTATACCTTAAGCCTTCACCTCTTTTCAGCTATCTCTGTTTAATAAATCTCAAATCGACACCTAGCTTTCCAGGTCAAGGTAGAGAGCTCTAGACAGCGGTTGCCAACCGGCAGTCGGTGGACCACTAGTGGTCCGTGAGGTCCAAAAGGTTGGCGACCACTGCTCTAGAAGATACAGCTAATCCACTTGATACATGTTAGGAAGATAGTGAATAAAATAACCTCACAACTGGTTGATGTGTTTCTATGATATAAAGATTCATAACAACACATCCTTTCATTGCCTCACATATTTAAAAATCAGAAATAACAGAAGATAAAAAGAAAATATCAGGAAATGCCCTATTTTTTTTTTTTAAAAAAGGTAAGAATCAGAATGTTAGAAGAGTAAGAGACTAGGAAGTAAGGCTCAGCTAGATTTATTAAATTCAGATGACAAGAACAACAGAAATAATTTTTTAAAAGATGAGAATAATATACAGGCCAATACTCAGATGTGATGCGCAATTGCCAGGTCGACTTTCAATTACATTTCCCTGATGTATTCATTTGTTTCTTAATGTGCTCATCTTGCCCATTAAGAATAATTAGCAGCTTTGCTTAGAGATTTTTTCTGGCTTCTGGCAATGTTTTTCCCCCACTTTTGATTTTTTTTGGTTGACATCCACTTTTACTTTATAGAAAGTAATTTTTGAATAATATCCTACCACTGCTATATAATTTAGGCTTCCTAAAATTTTAAAGGAAAGATGTAAACAGTAATTTTTAAATGAGTCTGTTTCAATCCATATGCATCCACAGCATGTGATTCAGTGAATTAGTCATTCTAACAGAAAATGGGCACACACATAGAAAAAAAAAAATTTTTTTTTCATTCATATTAACCTCCCTCAGCAAAACTGCTCAGGATGAGTGCCAGCTGTAAGCTCTGTGAGCAAGTCAGGATATCATTAGTATTAAGAGCAGGAAAAACACATTGCCAGTTTTTTAAGGCTTGATGCATGCTTGTTCTTTTAATTAAAAAAAAATTAGATCTAGTTACCACAGAAAGATGCACACAAACATAGAACAAACGGCATGACAGAAACTGCACTGCACTAGGAAGGTCTGCCCGTTTGGGTCTGCATCCTGAAAGGCCCTACTTTATCTACATTGTAGAGTCTCTCCCCTCCTGCCCTCTGGCACCCCGCTATATTAAACCCATTGTAAACCCTGGCACAATAAAGCACTCTCAGGGCTGAGCTTCTGAGGACCAAATGTTAAAAATCCATTTTCTTGGGAGGGGGCTGCACCAATCATTTCTTTGAAAGGCCGGCAGGGTGAATACAGAATCCGAGATTTCCTCTCTGATTTCAGGAGCCGGCCTGGCATCTTTGCTGTTTTAAAGCAGAGGTGTGTTAATTACTGACTTAGTGTTGCTTCTTTTCTTTGAAAGCTCTGCAGTGGAGCTCGATCCTGATTCTAGTGTCATTAAATTTACATGCGGACTGCAGATGTTTCCCAGAGTTGGTTAAAAGTTCTAATTGGTTCCTGAGCCTGTTAAATGAGACACCTGCTGACTTCAGGACACCCTCAGGTTGCTGGGCCCAAGCTGAAAGTTTCTGTGGCCAAAATGACCGTCTCTTGCCCAAGAACCCTGCCCCTGCTTTTTGCCCCTGGAAGCACAGATCGGCTGGGGCTGAGCCGGAGGCATACCTGACTCCCTCTCTCACTCTGTGTTCCCTGACATGCGGAGGAGGAGCACAGGGAAATGATAGCGTGCACAGAATAACCCAGAATAAAAGCAGAGTGAATGAACAACATGGGTTCATCTGCAGGAATATTTTGAGAAACTTGCGACAGCCTGAAGATCATGATTAAAATCCTGCATTTTAAAAAAGGAAGCACCTTTTGTGATCTCTTTCCCTTGTGTGAAAGGCCAAGCCTGTGATTGGCTGTTTTTCCTTCCTGAAATTTTTTTTTATTTTTTTTTAAAGTCTGTCAGGCAATTAGCAGGGTGGGGCTCACAAGTGCTGCTGCACAATATCAGCTACTGTGCTTCTGGTACCTCCTTCCTCCTTTCGGAGCAGCCTGATGGAGCTGCTGCAAATTTTATTTTCAAAAAAAAATATTACAGAGTGGAGGTAGCAAAAGAAAATAATTTTTAAAAAGGCTTTACGTAAGATGCCACACAAAAAAAAAAAAAATCAGGCCTGCTTTGACATTTTAGGAGTCTCAAATTCAAATAAGGAGATTACCTTCTTCAGAATGTAAATGGAAGGCACACCAAAAAACCCAAGGCAAACATATCTTCCACTTTTCCTCTCAATTTCTAACGGCTGTTAACTGCCCCTGAGCAAATCAGCTCGATTGCTAAAGTAGCTACAAATTATGCTTGCTTTCTTAGTTAAAGTACAGTTCAATTTTCATGAACTCTGTGTACATATTAGTAAAGCATAATCTAATAGAATGAGGTTTGAACTGTAATAGCATGGCAGGGAAAAAGAGATAGCTTTTATAATCCTAAATAAAAGGAAATAATGAAAACATGCTAGCTGTTTTTCATCAGGGAGATAGAAGTAAACCCTCAGAAATTAGAGTAGGCATGATATTACATGGCACCAGACGTGCATGATCAAACACAAGAAAGGTAAAGATGAGCATGAACTTGGAAGCTAATTTTTGTGTGCAACAGCCAATGTCATAAATATTAAATCATTTATCTTGTGCCGGCAAATTTCAATGGAAATATAAAAAAAATTAAAAAAACAAGAATGCCTGAAAATTATTTGGAAACAAATGTTCTTCCTGCCTTGAATAGTCCACAAATCATAGGCTCCTTTAAGAAGTGACCATTCAAATCTATCAAAATAAAAAACACTTCATCTTGCCCCATGAACTCCATATAGTTCTACTTTTTCTTAATTACTTATCATATGTATGGGAGAAACTCTTTTATAATACCCCATGCTGTCTTCTTTTATATCAATTGTTCCTGGAGGGGGTTAGGGGTAGAGGGAGGAAAGAACGCACCAAACCCCGTTTCCTATCCGAATAAGGATACTTCTGATGGCCTTTTCATTCCCATCAGTTAACAGAACTTCTTTGACATCTGCAGAAATAGCAACCTGGAAAAGAAAAAAAAGAAAAAAAGAAAAAAAAAAGGAACACAGCAAACAATGAGCAAATATGCTTGTCTGTGTGGAAGTGAAGACAGGAGTGACAAGCCTTCAGTATCATGCTTCCTCACCTATTTCTCTGTAACAATCTTCAATCTTTTTTCATTTTATGTCTGCATTATTTTAATCATTCAATCAAATCAGTCAATACTTTTATCATTCCATTTGCGGGAGCCTCTATCTTGCTATCATTCTGTTCGGTAATTGCATTGTGACAGCGGATGATGGTATTCTGAGAGGCTTTCATTTGTGGGCTTCTGTTTATCTAGTGGAGCCATCATACGAGGCTGTCACTCTGCCTTTCAGCCTGCTTCTGTCTGACTGCCTGATGCCCTTCATATAACTTTGCATTGCAGGCAGATGGCTTTGTGAGGGTAATTTTTTTGTGAGCTTTGACATGCTCGCACATTGGGCTGTAACCTCGACACATTGTGCGAGAGCGACAGGTTTGTCAAATGCCAATCAGGGTAACAATATGCTTTTATTTGTAGAGACATAAAAACTTGTCTAATGCACTGTGCCGCTACATAGTATCTCCTGAATACATGACTCAGAACCCAGAGAATGGGGAACAACGTTCCTGAATGGCCAATCTAATTCAAAAGAATCTAATTACGGAGCGCTCTGGATCATGTTTGTTGGTGTAATAATGCAGGCAAAACATTAGCAGCTATATCATGGTGCTCCAACTGTGATTCGCCGGGCTATTCCTGTATCTTAGCAAATGGGACTATAATCTGAAAGGGGAGGGGGGGGAAATGCTTTCGCTATGGCAAAGAAAGACTGCGAGAGGCCTGGAATGTCACGACAAGCGATATCGACTCACGGAGGGAAAATGTTTCTGCTCATCGAGGCAGCCATAAAAAATCAATATGATCCGAAAGTAAGTCAATCTAGAAGGTCTCTCAAGACCCGGCAGCTTGACCGCAGCTGACGCTGTTGACGGTTCTCTGACCCAGCAGTTGGAGGCCCTGGAACATTTTTCCTATTGTTCCTCCCTCTGAATGAGATTGGAATTGAGAAAAGACCTACCATGAGCCCAGCCAAGCATGTCATGCCACCCCCTAGCTCACACACAGCAAGGTCCCTGAAAGAGAGAAAAGAAATGGTAGAACCCATACAAATGAGATGAAAATGGTCACAGAGATATATATGTTACAAGAACAAATTGCCATCTGCAGGAAGAACGGCGCTACCAGGAAGTTGCGGAGACATGACTGGGCTACCTCATGTCGTTTTGCGTTTTAAAAATAATTATGAAATAGAAAAGTCACAAAGCAGGCAACCCAGCGGGGGTCCCCTCATTAGTGTTCACTGCAACACTGCCACCGCTGAGCTGAAAAATCTGAGAAGGTTCCCTTTTTTTCCCTTGTCAATGGCGCTGTCTTTTAGGACTAAACTAGCTAGAGTAGCGAAAGATAATTGTCAGGAAAGGGTAACACTGTTAATCCACATTCACTCCTTCAAAAACAGTTAGACAAGTAAATGAAGAATATATCTGAGTGTGTCTAGACCTATATTATAGTCACACACACACACACACACACACACACACACACACACACACACACAAAATAAATGCAATCTTGAATTTAGAAAAAAAAAATAATGTAAAACAAACCAAAACATTTGGGAAAACTGAACCGCCCCCATAAAGAACAATTACACAAAGAACATTTAGCAATTAACACTTAAGTCACAATTGACCCCATGCAACACTGTGAATAAACAATGCAGGGACATAATATGGTGAAGCCAGCAAACCCAGCTAAAGTAATGACTGGGCGCTGACTTCGCTGCTCGCCGGCTCCCAAGTAGAGCGGCTCCAACTTAAAGCTGACAAGGCTAACGTGGCACTCTGCACTTACCTTCCTCTTTGTGCCTAAATATCAGTGCTCCACGGGTGACATCCTCGCCCCGGCCCCCTGCCCGCTGATTGGAGCTCCAGTCAAGCTGAAGCACAGCGAGATGAGCAAATGCCAGGCGTTCAGGGCAGGCAGCTCTGCAGCCCAAATTCAATACCGCCCTGTTTTTTTATTCTACATGTTTAGATTCTTAAGATTGTTTCTTCATTGCAGTTTGGGAAGTTTATTACCTCACCCAAAGGGCGAGGGGGGCGGGGAGTAGGGTGGGAAGCAGCACTAAAAGGGAGGGAGAGGTGGAAAGAGAGGGAAGGGGAGGAGAAAAAGCCAAACAAGAACATTCATAGTCCAAAATACACTTAATGGGCATTTAGTTGTTCAAAGCAATTACAGTCTAGTTGGTAAATATAGACCCATTGAACTTCAAAAAATATACATTATTGACCCAGCCTTGTAAGTACATATTGCTAAAACACACACGCCATGATCTCTAACAGCTTGTCTGGAATCATAATGGGCTATTCAGGAAGCTTCTGCTGGATGACTTCTATAAAATGAGATTTAAAATGAAAAACCTTTATTTTCTGGGTCTACCAAACATCTTTATAATTTTCAAATAAAAGAAGGTGTTGTTTTTTGTTTGTTTGTTTTTCCACTAAATCTCATGCATGGGTTGGATCTATAATGCACACTGACAGTTGAAAACATTTATTTCTGTAGCATGAATCTGTAATTACTATGCATTACTACTATATTTTATGAATGCACGTTGTTAGTATACAAAACACCTTTACAAACCAGGGGTGGGATGGCACCCTTACATAATAGCTGTGGGATATCTATTAAAAATTCTGTAGTGACTTCTCTGGCAGAAGTTTAAAGAAAGTCTTTATTGTCTTTGTGGGTTTTTTGTTGTTTTTTTTTTGACCTTTACAATCAGTAAGGATTGATTGGAGCTTCACTTTTGTTTCCCCAAAATCAAAGTGAAATAAAAAGCCTTGAGTGAAAATCAAAAGCTTTTGACATATAGCAAAAAGCTTGCTGTGCAATATTAGTACCCAAAGGCAATTCAGATTTTTTTTTTTTTAGAAGCAACATGTTTTGCCAAGAACTTTTTCTCCTTTCTGTTTTCTTTTACTCTCTCTCTCTCTCTTCTTTTCTTATCTTTCAAACAATTTAATTTGAAGAGTGTAATCATAACAATCTTTAACATGCAGATCCAATACCCATCATGAGCTGGGGGAGAAAAGTATTTTTCGGTGCAGCTTTGTACCTGAATATCTCACTGTGCTTGAGGCAGTAGTAAGCCAAAACCTCTTCAGCCGGCCAGATGCCTGAAAAACACAAGGGCATACACCTTTTGTTATTATAGAAGTCTCTTTTATACTCATTCTTTGTAGTCATGCCCTTAAGAAATGGCTTTTAAAAATTATGTTCCGTGTAAGCCATGTTGACTTTAAACAAATGTAACACAATTATTAGTAGCATTATATCACATGAGTTTCCTTGGTTGTTGATTTTATGATGGTAAGATTTATAACTCAGGAAAATGGTACAATAGTCTAAATAAATTTTACTAAATGTCAATCACAACAAAACAGCAAAAACAATAATAACCAAATTTCAAATATCAAAAGTTAAATTTTAATGGGATTTCAGGGAGATCCTAGTGTTGTGTACAAGAACCTTCTTCTTCAATTCATAAGCATCAGTGAAAGACCTGCTGTCTATGCAACTTATGTTAGGCAACAATAAATGGAAAAATCACTTATAGGAGCAAATAAAACCACTGGGGTCATTATACCTTTTTGTTTGATTCCATACTAATTTTTAAAAATATGCACAGTTTTACCCTTTCTCTAATTAATAAAAATCAAACTGGAGCATAAAATTAAGAAATTTAAAATTTTCCAACTTTGGTACCTCATTAAATTTAACAATAACCCTTTCAACTAAATTCCATGGATGGGCATTTTCTAAAATCATCATCTATAAATTATTTATTTAAAAGACTTAAGTAGTCTTCATGAATGTATATGAATTGCTTAAAGAAGAGACAAACATGTTAGGAAATTACAGTTCCTAGTAGTTATCACAGTTAAGTTTTCCCTTTATACTTTTATGTTTCCCAAAATTTTTACAATACATATGTATGACTGTAATAATCGGAATAAATAATAGCCTTATTATTTAAATAAATAATAGCCTTATAAAAATTACTCAATGCACAAAATTCATGCATGGAGGGGGATCCCCTCAGCCCAGCCTGCACCCTCTCCAATCCAGGACCCCTCAAGGGATGTCCGACTGCCGGCAGTCAGACATCCCTCTCACAATCCAGGACTGCTGACTCCTAACTGCTCACCTGCCTGCCTGATCACCCCTAATTTCCCCCCCTGCCAGCCTGATCACCCCTAACCACCTCTGCCTGCCAGCCTGATCGTCCCCAATGGCTCCCCCCTTCACTGGCATGGTTACCCCCAACTGCCCCCCCTCCTGCCAGCCTGGTCACCCCACACAGCCTGCTGTTCAGTCATTTGGTCATCCCTCACTAACCCCCCTGCCAGCCTGGTCACCCCATGCAGCCTGCTGTTCCATTATCTGTCTGGTTGTTTCAGTCGTGACGGCCCCTGGCTTTTTATATAATGGTCAGACTCAAAGATCAGACAGGGCACCAGCATCCTGCATGGCTGTGCAGTCCTGGGAAAGAGTAGTGAGTGTTCACTTAGTTCTAAGCTCTCTTATAATAGGTCTTGATGCAAAACTGAAACACCTAACAACATTTAATTTTTTTTTTCCTCCCAGATGCATCCCTAGCTTTGAGGAGTTAAGAAATCTGGCATTTCAGAGAAAAGTATGTCAAAAATTGGTAAGTAAAATCTTAAAAGAATTGATGGGTAAATATATGAACTGCAAAGAGATGACCCCATAGAGCATTTGTTGCAGCAAAGTCTCAGCCTTGGTTGGGTAGCTCAGTTGGTTAGAGCATCATCCTGATTCACCAAGGGTACAGGTTTGATCCTGGTCAGGGCACATGCAAGAATCAATCAATGAGCACATAAATAAGTGGAATAACAAATAGATGTTTCTGTCTTTCACATGCCCTCTCTCTAAAATCAAACAATAAAAAAATTCTTTAAAATGAAATAGAAAATCAAATCAGCAATTAGGAATATAAGGAAGCAAAAAATACCCAATCAGAATAGCAAAAAGAAAAAAGAATCACCTCCCCCAAAATGAAAATAGTGTAAGAAGCCTCTAGGACAACTGCAAGTGTACCAACTTTCACATCATGCAGGTGCAAGAAGGAGAAAAGAAAGAGCAAGAAATTGAAAAACTGTTTGAAAAAAGTAATGACAAAACTTCCCTAACTTGGTAAAGGAAATAGACATACAAGTCCAGGAAGCGCAGAATCCCAAATGAGATGAACCCCACATCAAGACACATCATAATTAAAATGCAAAAGGTTAAAGAAAAAGAGAGAATCTTAAAAGCAGCAAGAGAAGAGCAGTTGGTTATCTATAAGGGAGTGACCATATGACTCTCAACTGATTTCTCAACAGAAACTTTGCAGGCCAGAAGGGAGTGACATGAAACATTCAAAGTGATGAAAAGTAAGGACCTATAACCAAGATTACTCTATTCAGCAAAGCTGGCAGGAGAAAGGCCTCTCTCAAATCTGAGGCTCAACTGGAGAGGCCAACACCCCCTTAGGGAAGCTGTTGGTTCTTCTGGGAAAAGGAATGCACTGATGGATGTTACTAAAAGGGAAAGTTGCTGATGCTGGAATGGGTAAGTAAGTCTTTTGGACTGTTTTTAGTGTTTACATTTTGTCTCCTTTTCCTTAAACATTTCTGCATTTTCATTGATATTTCATCCCAGGAACTATAGAATGCTCCATAAATTTTTATGTGGCATTTATTATGTCTCTGTGGAATACAGCATGGTCACTCGAGCTTCAGTCTATTAGTGAGGAGACATTAATTAAATAATTACACAAATGACATGCCTAATTATAATTGTAATAAATGCCATGTGGAAAAATTGATGGTACTTCTGAGAACATTTCATAGGGGACTTGACCTGGTCAGAGGGGAAGTTGGGAGGAGTGCATCAGAGAATGCTTACCTGTAGAAATGGAATGTAAGCTGGGACCCAGAGGATGAAGAGGTAAGTAGAAGAGAAAAAGGGAGACAGGGATAGAGGAGATGGTCCAGAGAAGAGGGGCCTCATGAATTAAAACTTTGAAGAGCTTGATTCTTAGGAATGGAAATAGGGTCAGTGGAGCAGTACAATAAGTGAGAAAGGGAGAGAGTAGTGTAAAATGAGACTGGAGGGGTAATTAGGGGCCAGATCCCACAAGCTCAAAGACCATATTAAGAATTTTAAATTGCATCACAAAATAAATAATAAAATTTAAGCAGCATAGTGGTATGATTAGATTTACATTTTAGAAGATAAGTCTGGCTACTCTAAAGAAAATAGATTGAAAAGGGGCAAGAAAAGGCAGGGGAAATTAGGTAGGCAGCTACTACAATTACATAGGTGAGTGTGGGTGGTGGCTTGGGTGATAGAGGACAAGAAGAAAAGTGGAAAGATATGTGCTATCTTTAAAAGGTACACTAGCAAGGTTTTATAGTGAACTAGAGGCCTGATGCATGAAATTCGTGTGTGTGGGGCGGGGGGGCCCAGCCTGCACCCTCTCCAATCTGGGACCCCCTTGAGAAATATTCAACTGCCTGTTTACAGGGATCAGGCCAGGGGGGTGTGGCCAGCCTGTGTGAAAGGCTGATGACTGTTAGCAGGCTGGCCGTACACCCCGGTGACCCAAGATCCCAGCCCCTCTTTTTTTCCTTTTCTTTTCTTTTTTATTTTATTTTCTTTTTTAGCACCTCCTTGAGCAGAGGCCAGGGCCAACTGGAAGCAGGTATCTGGGATTTATTTATCTTCTATAATTTAAACTTTATAGACTTAAGTGGAGGCCAGGGCTGGCCAGGGTTGGTGGGAAGCTTGACTTCCTCCATCACCGGGGGAAACCAAGCCTCCTGCTCACTCCAGCTCCGTGGCCACCACCATCTTTGTTGGGTCAATTTGCATATTTGCTCCTGATTGGCTGGTGGCTGTAGCAGAGTGATGGTAAATTTGCATGTTTCTCTTTTATTCGTGTAGATTAGAGGAAGAGAGTGGTAAGAGAGAGGGAGGTGTCAAGTATGACTTAGGTTTATGGCATTAATAAGTGGGTGGATGATACACAGCACAAGCATATAGATTTTATATGAACCGGGGTGGGGGGGGGCACTGAATTCATGGTGCAAAAACACTCACTAGGTGTCTAGGTTCTGATTATAGTTCTGACACTATATTGGAAAATATCAATAATTTAGCCTTTCTGAGCTTCTGCAAAATACTAGGGTTAGATTATACTAGGAAGACTTTAGGCAAAAAAAAATAAATAAATAAATAAAAATAAAATAAATTAAAAATAAATTAAAAATTTTAAAAAAATAAAAAAAAAAGCTATAACAGAAAACCATGCTTTGAAGTTAGACAGAGTTCAGCTTGAATATCAGCTCTTATGGTTACATCACCTTGGACAAACTACTTAAATTTAAGCTTCCTTCATTCATTCATCCATTCCTTCAGCATACAGTTATTGGCAGCCTGCTCTAGAAGCTGGGATACAGCAGTGAATAAAACAAAGCTTTTACCCAAATAACTTCAACAGGGGCAATAGGCAGTAAAGTAGGTAATTTCAGATAGTAATTAATGTTGTGAAGAAAATAAAACATTAATGAAACTGAGAATAACCATTGTGGGGGTGGTGTGTGTGTGCTATAGCCAGCATTGTTGGGTAATGCCACAGTTGTCTCATTTGTTAAGTACAAGCAATAAAAGTACTAATCATAGTGTTGTTGGGAGGATCAAATGAGCTAATGCATGTAAGAAACTTAGAACAATGCCTGGCGCATAATAAAGTTTTTTAATAATGATAGCTATTGATGCTTCTGCTATTGCCATTGTTATTATTAGGACATGTTTTTATGCAGGGAATTTTATTAACAGTGATTATATTTGTATGATATTTTCCTCAACTCTAGATTGCAAAACACACTAGGTTGCAAAAACAAGGGTCCAAATGAATTGTTTTATAATTCTATTTCTTCTCTTGTTTCTGGGGAAACCAACTGAACCGATAGGACAGAGAATGAGCATGAGGAAGGAGAAGAAATAAAGGAGCACAAAAAATTAACCAAGTATTTCAATGACAGATTCTTCTATGACTGCAAAATGGGGTAGTTTATAGGTATGGTTTGATTAAACTTGTCAATATATG